GAGGGAAATCATATGGTTAGTTTATATGGGTAGATGAAGGAAGCGCAGAGCTAAGAGAGGAGACTGGAATGAACAGGGGGATCAAGCAGCCCATTACTTTTTGTAAAAAATAACTTTCAATAATATTAAAACTGGATCCATGATTATGTCCGAAAATCTTATTTAGGGATGTTGATATTGAGGAGTCATGTGTTTGTGTTTGTGTTTGTGTTTGTGTGGGTGTGGGCGTGTTTAAATTCTACAACAGTTTGGGGGGGTTGAAAAAATGAAATTTTCAGGAAATTTTGAGAGATCATCTCTTGGGCTATGACAAGTCAATCTGCTTCCCATTTCTTCGCCGGTGCTCTCTTGACATATCTATCTTCATTTAAAACTGTGACATTGTGGTGGACTTGTATTATTCTAGTTCAGGCTGGGGAGCCTGAGGCCGATTCCCCTCATCTGGAGCCTTCTGGGGGCCCACATGCCAGCGGTGGGTGTGACAAATGGCAAAGGAGGCAGAGCAACGGATGAGACTTTTGTACAGCTGTGCCCCATTCCAGCCATGCAGCAGTGGGGTATTTCTGCACACCTCTCAGCTCCCCCCCCCCCCAGAAAACCCTCTCAGTCCAGGCAAGGAAGATGCTGTCACGGTTCAAGGACACATTCCAAGCAGGCAAAAGATGCCAGTGCACACAAACCTCCCCTGGTGAGCCCACTGGAAGGAGTGCCCATTTCCTTGCCCACTCATGGAATTCCAGCTGTTAAATGCTGTGCCAACCCTCTCTTTCAAAGAAAGGTACAGGGGCCATGTCACTGGCTGGCTCATCATCTGAGCTTGTGCCTTTGACTCCTTGTGCAATCACTCAGCCTTGCAACCTGGGCCTTATGTCCTATTCTAATCCGAAAATGGATGGGGTTTTGTTTGCTTGGTTTTGTTTTGTTCCAGTTCATCAGATGGGGAGAGCCAGGACAGGTGGTCCTGTTCCAAAAAGACAGGTGTCCAAGGGGCAGGGAAGGGAGACCTTCTTATCTGTCTCTATATGCTTAACAGCCAGAGTTGCACCAACGAATTGGCCAAGCCTTAGTCAACAGTTAGGCTGGGTCATTTGCTGTTGGCTCTTCAGATCACCTGGTCTGGCTGGGCTGATAAGATGCAGTACCCCTCCGGGGGGTGCTGTAGTGGACTATTCTCTCCTTCAGCCTACAGACTGCCCCAGTGGAGCAGGGAGTTAAACCACCTGCCCCCTGTTGCCAGGTTCTCTAGTTCAAGCTCCCTGGTGCATTACGCTAGAGCTGGCTCCAGGGTGGGTAGGGCATTAGGCAAGTTCTTTTCATCAGGTGCCCCCTCCCTGAGTAAGTTGGCCATCTCTGCTTCACTGCTGTTACTGCTGCCTAGCTGGCCTCCTCTTTCTCTGAGCCCACCACCTATTCGAGGAAGAGGATGAGGTGTGAGTGGTGGCTTCTTTTCATGCTCCAGGAATTGGGTCCCTCAGGACCAGAGGCCAATTACAGCCCTCTGGGTCTCGCTGTCTAGCCTTTGAGACTCTCTGCAGACTGCCCCCCCCAATGGACTTACTTTGCAAATGCCTTGAGTGTGTTTGCCTGACTGGGAGGTGTCCTGGAACCCTGACCATGCTTCTTCCTTGCCTGGATGGAGGATATGTGAGTGCATGTCAAAACTAGCCCATTGTACCAAGAGAACAGTTACATCCATTGCTTAGATTGCAGGTGTGTTTGTTTTTTAGAAGCCTTTGGCCCACCAAGCTGAATGCAGCCCATGTGCCCCATTTTGTGGCCTGCTGGGTACTCGGCAGGTTTTAGGTTTATTTATTCCTTTCTGCAGACCCAGGCCAGCAGTTTTATCTGAGCAGTTGTTCTAGCAGACCCAGGTGGGCTCATCGAGCCTCGGGTTGACCACCATGCACAGCTGTTGTGCTGCATCCAGCCTGGTGGGATGTTTCTTGTGTGGGGGACAGCTTTCGTGTGCCCTGGGACTCTGGCAGAAGAGTGAGCATCGGGCAGCATCATGTTAAGCACTACAAACCCCCAACCATGGAGATGGAGTTCAAGGTACAAAGGTGCCAAAGGTGCTTCCAACAGCACACAAACACACACATTCACTCCTGTCTTTGTGTTCAAGGGCAGTCCTGTTATTCAAAAGAAATAAAAAGCCACGAATATCTGTGTGGGTGATTTGTTCCATTCTATTCCTGAGCCATCTGAAATATTAAAAAATTGAATTGTAACTCAAGGCACAAAGCACACTTACGCGTGCCTGCATGTGCGTGCTCTCGATTAAGAGCCAAGACTGGTCTCTGGCCCTAGAGCCAAGCCATCCATTATGTGGCTGAGTGATGGGAGCCTCACACCCTCCTTTCCTTTCTCCCTTCTGAAAAAGGGGTCAGCTCCCTCCCTAGGTAATGGCCCGCCTTTTCGTTTTCCAGGAGGAAAATGAAAATGCATTTGCCCGAATCCGCGGGGGCAACTGCCTGACTCCCTGCCAAGTGAATGGAAGAACCGACATGCAACCTTTCTGCCATGCCAGCTCAATCTCTTGGTGCTTGTGACGAGAGGAGAAAGGCAGGAGGGAGGAAGTAGCAAGGCGAATGAACGCAAGAAGACATGGGAGAAAAGAGGGTTACTAAGAGGGTCACCCACTCCAGAGGAGTTGGGAGCCAGGAGCACTTTCTCACACAAATATGCATTGCTTGGTTATTTGTTTAATCCGTTATACACAGATCTTCCACCAAGGAATTGGTGAGTGTGTGATCCCTGCCTCTTCTCCTGCTCCAATTTATCCCAAAAACAACCCGTCAGGGTAGGCTAGGCTAAGAAACAGTGCTGAGTCCAGTGAACTTTGTGGCTGAGCAGAGATTTGAACCCGACTCTCCACCAGTCCAAATTCAGAGTCCCTTCCATGTTAGCTGCCTACCATCATAGCTGATTGTGTCAAAGGAAAGACGTTGCAAATAATTGCTTGTGAGGCAGTGTGATGCTGTACAGGAGTTTGATCCTGAATCACCTATTCAAGGGCATCTGTCAGATGAAGACTGTGTTTGTAGGAATGTCTCAAACCTATCTAAGAAAAACTCACGAGTTGTATTGAAATGCTTTTTTTGCTTCCCTCAGGGTGCATTAGATTAGCCTTCCACAACCTGGTGTCCTCTGGATGTTTTGAACCAGCATTCCGAATACTGGTGGATCTAGAGGGCACCAGGTTGGAGAAGGCTGCATTAGATTTGGGAACGTCCAAATTCACCTGAAAATTTCACGTTGGACATATCTGGTGGCAACTTCTGCCCTTGGCCTTGTCAACTTCAGTCCCTGGGTGGGGGTCTTTTCCTCCAGCCCTCATCTCCCAAAGGTTTGATGGTCAGAGGCAGTGGTAGCACCAACTGCCTCCAGCACCTTTTGCCTCAATCTACATTCATGTCCTCTCTGCATCTCAGGCAGGATTGTATGACAGCCTGCCTGAGAAATTTCATTCTTATCAACATTCTTTTTCCCCCACTCCAAATTCCTTGGATGGTTTAACTGAGGACATTCTGCTTTGGCCAAACTTTAGTGGCACCTCTACATGCCCATGGGTGAACCAGTCTCAAATGGAGGCTGAAAACGAGGAGGCTTTCCTTTCAGCCTTGCAACTTGGAAGGCAATAATAACAATAGTAAACAAGAGCATTCCCCTGACACCCACCCAACCACCCACATCTCTCTCTCTCTCTCACACACACACACACACACGTGCGCGCGCACACACACACACACACACACACACACACTGACATGCAGCTTCTGGGCTTTTGGCTGAAAGAGTGACAAATAACTAGAACAGACCAGCAGACAGGCAGGTGGCCCACAGCAGTACAGAGGGGGAGCTTGGGACAGGGGTGGGGAACCTCAGGCCTTGGGGTCAAATGTGGCCTCCCGGCCTCCCTCTTTGGCCCTCGGGACACTCCTTGGGCTACACCTCCTCCTCCTCAACCACACCCCTCACAATGGCTCTGCTTCGTTCCCTCCCAGTATTTTGGTGTCTGGCTGCAAACGTGTCCTTGAACTCTGAATATGTTTCTTGCTTGCCTGGATGGATGACAGCAAGGGGTGTGTGTAAAAACAAATGTCACATTTTCATCTTTTGCTCTAACCCATGGGTAGGCAAACTAAGGCCCGGGGGCCGGATCCAGCCCAATCACCTTCTAAATCCAGCCTGTGGATGGTCTGGGAATCAGCGTGTTTTTACGTGAGTAGAATGTGTCCTTTTATTTAAAATGCATCTCTGGGTTATTTGTGGGGCATAGGAATTCGTTCTCCACCCAAAAAAAATATAGTCTGGCCCCCCACAAGGTCTGAGGGACAGTGGACCAGCCCCATGCTGAAAAAGTTTGCTGACCCCTGCCTAACCATTTCCCCCTCTGGCCCTGACCACCACTGGCATGTGGCCCCAGAAGGTTCCCCAGAAAGGAATGTGGCCCTCGGGCAGAAAAGCAACCCTCCCCCACTGCTTTATAGCCATGCTCTTCTTGGATAGGCTGCTTCTTCTCTCTTTGCCTAGTCAACTGTAGGACATTGTTTCAGTCAATCCAACAATTCATGTTTTGCCAGATAGGCACATGAAGGAGCTGAGGCTCACAGAGATTTCCTGTAAAATTTGCTAGAGAGAACTCTGTGAGATCACTTGCTTTGTCTGCCTAGACAGGAAGCTGTAGCCCTATATACTTCCTGCTTGCCCAGGCATTTTTCTCTTTCTTCATCATGCTTCCATGATGCTCACTTGTACATGCCTGAGTTCTGCAGCTCAGACCATTTTTAAACTTACATTTTGTACTTTTGTAACATAGTACAGTGGTACCTTGGGTTACAGACGCTTCAGGTTACAGACACTTCAGGTTACAGATTCCACTACAGAAATAGTACCTTGAGTTAAGAACTTTGCTTCAGGATGAAAACAGAACTCGTGCAGCGGTGGCACGGCGGCAGCGGGAGTCCCCATTAGCTAAAGTGGTACCTCAGGTTAAGAACAGTTTCAGGTTAAGAACGGACCTCCAGAATGAATTAAGTTCTTAACCCGAGATACCACTGTAGTTATAAACCTGCCTTCATTTTGCTACTATAGCTGATGTTTCAAGACCTAGATTATGTAAGTAAATACTACTTTTATTTCTTCACAAAACAATGTTTTTGTGGTTGATGTTTTTAAGGAGGGGAAATGGGGTAATACCTATTCGGGTTTTCCTATATAAAAAAAATCAACCCTAGTAATACCAGAAAAATCAAGTTTGCTTTAAAGCATCCTGGATTATTGTTTCTAGAAGGTTAAATCAACCTTGTTTTAGCTTCTAAATTTAAGCCGCAAAGAGTGGTACTCTACTAATCTTACTCACATGAGCAAGGATAATAACTTAACAATATATATCCTCTCCCAGTGCTTAAACCCATTCCTACATCAACAGCTGCCCCAATCACACCTGCCCCCCAATCTCTCCATCTTCCATTCAGGTGAGCCAGAGGCATCACTACAGAACACATTTGAGGACACATTCCAGCCTGGCTCAGACGCTCCAGGAGCAGGAGTCACTGAGAAGCCTGGCCTGGTCAGAGTCCTGAAGCCTGCATTTATCCCCTGGCCTGAGCAGGAACTTCATAATGAAGGCACAGAGGGTAACAAGAAACTGAACACTCCCTTTGTATAAAGCTCTGGTGTCTCTGCTTTTAGCAGTGTGGTCTCTTATTGCTAACCTGTCTGCCCATTATAGACTTGGATTAAATCTTACTCCCACATATCAAACCTGTTTTTAAAAGTCTGCAGTTCTCAGGAACTGTCTGGGGTCAGTCTCATTAGAAAACCCAGCCAGATGCTTCAGCACCACATGGCCAGCTATTACAGGAGGCAGCAAATGAGCAGTGTCCAAGGAAAGCCAAGGGGCACACAGTGGATTGGGTGATGCAGACAAAACTGGTGGGACTGGTGTTAATGGGTGAGTGTGCTGTGTTTAGGACTTTTTCTTGTTCATGGCCTCATAGAGCAGGAATTAATCAACTCCAGAACTCTGTTCCAGGACAGAATCCTCCATACATCAACTTCCCATGGACCTGGTTCCAGGAACTCTGAATTATTATTTTTCTTTGGCCTAGGCTCTTTAATTTTTTTTTTTAATGGAAGGGCATAAAGAGGCAACCCTATTATGGAATTAGAGAATTACATCCTCCCTTTCTTCAGGCTTTTAAATGCCTTTGCCAGATACACAGCTTCTGTTCTAAACATGTGTTTGTGTGTGTGGTGGCCCTCACTGCTGGTAGCTTTCAAAACAAGGAAGAGGATCCTGTGGCTCTTCAGACATTGCAGAACTGCCACTGCCACCATCTCTGATCACTGGACAATGGTGACTGGGGTGAATGGGAGTTGGGATCTCACAGTGGTGCACCCTGTTGGGCAACTCATAATCTCCTGCACTGAATGACCTGTCTCGGTTGCCAATCAGTAACCAAACTAGGTTTAAAGTGTTAGTCTTGTTGTCTGAGAGGCCATGTTATCTGAGAGACTGTTTTTCTGGTCTGTGGTTGGGGTCCTCCTGACCATACTATACCCTTCAGTCACCCATCTGGTAGGGGCACACAGGAGGGGCTTCTCCATGGTAGCACTTACCATTAGGAATACTCTTCCTTATTGAGATCTGGTGAACACCAACCATGTCTCGCCAGAGTAGTACATGGTTTGGTTATCTTCCACTTGAACTACTGCAATGTGCTCTACATGGTTACCTTTGAAGGTGACTCAGAAACTACAACTAATCCAGAATGTGACAGCTAGACTGGTGACTGGGAGCAGCTGCTGGGACCATATAACACTGGTTTTAAAAGATCCATGTTGCCTTGCGGTATGTTTCTAAGCACAATTCAAAGTGTTGGTGTTTACCTTTAAATCCCTAAATGGCTTTGGCCCTGTATACCTGAAGGAGTGCCTCCACCCTCATTGTTCAGCCCGTACACTGATGCCCAGCTCAGAGGGCCTTCTGGCAGTTTCCCCATTGTGAGAAGTGAAATTACAAGGCACCACCCTGTGGAACACCTTCCCAGCAGATGTCAAAAAGTTAAACAACTATATAACTTTTTGTAGACATCTGAAGGAAGCCCTGCTTGGGGAAGTTTTTAAGGCTTGATGGATTGGTTAGGTTAGGTTTTCCTTATCCTTCTTCTTTCCCTCTGTATTTTTGTTGCAAGCTGCCTAGAGTGGTTGGGGCAGTCAGATGGGTGGGGTATAAGAATTTTGTCGTCGTTGTTGTTGTTGTTAAAGACCTATCTGCTCACTTGGGCCACAGGTAGCCAGCACATGCCCCTTCAGAAGTCCCATCAGCTCCAGTCATCATAGCCAATGGTAGCTGAGGATGGGAGCTTCTATTCAGAACCCTGAGCCAGGCTTTCTCTGATCCGTAATATTGTTAATAACCACTTACCTTGGTTATTGTGTTAACTTTATTGATTATTTTTTTATTGGATAGTCTTACATTTATTATTGTCTGAACTGCTTCAGAATTTCTTTTGTGAATGAAAACCAAGATAGAAACCTTTTGATAAATTGCAAACACCTGAAGGTCGATAAAAAGAAACAAGGGGGGGCACTACCACCAGTAAGATCTTTCCAAACGCAGACAAACCAGTTTAAAGGGTGCCCCCACCAAATAATAACAGAAAGAGCTTTCTAGATTCACCAGTTACAATTGGGAGGCGTGTGAGTTGTTTCACTTCAGCCCCATCTGAAGTCCTGATTGGAGGACAGGGCGGTGGTGTGGACAGATGGGGCATGTGGGACATGCCACAGATTGTGTTTGGTGCCTCCCCTCATTTCAGAAAACACCATTTCCCAAACAAATCTGCAAACTCTGAACTGCAGCTGGGTTGGAAATTGCCAGCACTTCTAGACTCCTCCTCCACCACCTCCTCCTCCTCTTTCTGGGCAAGGAAGGATCAATAATCGCCGCTCTTCCCTTCTTCCTTTTGTGTTGCGCTGGAACAGCTGCCAAGCAGAGCCTGCACTTGGCAGCAGAGCCCTCCCAAGGAACCAGTCCAATGTGGCTGCTTCCCATCTGTTCTAACAAGGTGACTCAGGCTGAAGGTGTTCTCCAAACTCCCCACTGGCTGTATTTATTGTCAAACAGTTTTTGCTTTCCCCACTGCCTCTGGAAACGTGCGGAGCAGCTGAAGATGCACAGTCATTTTGTCATTTTCCTTTCAGGGTACTCTGGAGCCCAGCAGAAATAAACAGCGCCAGCCCAGGGGTGTGCAAAACCTCGCTCAGATACATTGTCACTGTGATATATGTGACCTAAGTAGTGTGTAGCCAGAGTTCCCCTGTGTTCAAGGAATCCAGGTTCTGTGATGTGCAAAAATCGTAAGGCTTGCATCCGTCCTAAGTTTGATCCCTTGCATCTCTTAATAGGGCTGGGAAAGTCCCATCTGAAACTCTAGATACCCACAACCAACAGTGTACCTATCAAGGGAAGTAATAGCACCACTCTGTTGTGTCTTGGTCATACCACCCCCCGAGTCCTGTGCCCATTTCTGAGCACCACAATTTAAGGAAGGTATTGACAAGCTGGAATGTGTGCAGAGGAGGGTGACCGAGATGGTCAAGGGTCTGGAAACCAAGCCTTCTGAGGAACAGTTCAGGGTTGTGGGTTCGAGTCCCGCATTGGGCAAAAGATTCTTTTATTGCAAGGGGTTGGAACAGATGACCCTCTTGGTCCTTTCCAACTCTACGATTTTATGATTCTAAGTAAAATGCAGTCCACTAGCCAGGTATGGTGACGCACCTAAGGTCCAGTTTTACTGTCTGATCAGAAGCCTGCATTTCAAGCATCTGGAAGGACCCCAGAGCAAGCTGGTGGGCTACATTGGGCTTAGCAGGTCACAAACTGGGGAGGGCAGATCAAAATTGCACACGATATTACCTCCCCCTTTTTAAGGGAGAACAAGCCTACCCAACCTGTGTTACCTTCCAGGCTGAAGACTGCCCAATAATATCCACTATGGAGGCTTGTTAAGGGTTTAGTAAGCCCCCAAATTTTGCTACTTCGCTGTCAATGCAAAAAACAAGGACAGCTGCTCAAGCATGAGCCAGCTTTGCTTTCTTGGAAAAGAGTGCCTTCTCAAGGCTGGAGTTCACCTATTTGGTGGAGCATTGAATTGCCATTGCATAGTTCCATTTCGGGCTGACCAGAGGAAGATTTATGAAACAGAGGTTGATATTAAGTTATCTTGTTGCTGGAGTTTCATCGGAATCGCATCAGCAACAAATATAGAAAATAGAGAGTTATTCTCTTGGACTCGGTGCTTTTTTTCTAAAAAACCGTTTAGGGGTACTCTCATTTTCCTACTCATATTGAAATACTGCCCTTCAATGAGGCCAAACTTAGATTCACAGAATGTTTAGAGGTTTGCGCCCCCCCCCCCAAAAAAAAGCACTGCTTGGACTTATTGCAAGAATATTGGACTGCTTGGCTTTGAAATATTGAGTTGTGTATGTTATTTTGGCATTGTAAATATCATTTAAGACTCTTAAGTATTAGAAGGTGTTGAATTTTGGTACATTACTGTTAATGAATTTTCGCAAGCCATATACTGATTTGGTATAAGGCAGCGCGTCCTGTGCTTGTTCTTACATCATCGGTCAAAGAGCAGTAAAACCAAGAACGAAACAGCAGCAAAAGTTCCACAGAGTGAATGTTTTATTTCCAACAAACATAGCGCCCGCCCGGCCTGGGATAGAGCAGGTGAGGATGGGGAAGGAAGACGTGGGGAGGGTGTTCCAGGTAGGGAGGGAGACTCAGATTCGACCTGGGGCAGAATGGGGCAGAGAAGGAGCCAGGTCTTCTCCCCCGCTGCCCAGGCAGGGAGATCTGGTGCTGGAGGGAGGACGGTGCAAGGAGCCGAGTCTCAAATAGGGAGACGCAGGGCAGTGGCGACAGCTATCCCAGACTGCTGGCCGTGCACACAGTGCATGGCGTGAGGAAAGGTCCAGATAGAAAAGAGTTAAGATTGGTTCTTTTGCCCCCAAGTGGGGGAAAAGCTGCCCCTGCCCCTCCAAGTCCTGAGGCTGGAACAGCCGCTGGCGTGATTGTGTGAGCGCTTTTGGATCCTGCAGTGAATCACTGCACGGGGAAAAAGAGGGGCTGGCAGAAGGTGTGTGTCTTTCTCTCTGTGTGTGAATGCCTCCCCGCCTCATCATGACCTCCAAGTGGAGCAAGTGCTTATGTGGGGTGTGTGCATGGCTGTGCCTTTGTGACACTTGGGGAGGGTGCAGCTCCTGCTATCCCGCCCCCTCTCCTCCTCCTCCTCTCGAAGACCATCTAAAGAGGTGGCCACTGTTTCCAAAACTGCCCCCCTCCTCAGTAAAACTGCCGGAAGGGGATGGAGCTGTCTTTTCTTTTTGTCTTCTTTTTCCAAAGTGTCAGTGTGAAAATATATATATATATTTATATATATTTATAGATCGATAAATCCCAGAGTTCACGAGGCTCACACTTCTGTCTGGAAGTCCCCCTCGGATAGATCCAGGCTCATGCAATGCTTCTCCCAGTCGGCGGAGTGCAGCTCCAGTTTCTCCCGGTGCTTGGAGGGCAGGGAGCTCAGCGTCATGGCCTTGAAGGTGCTCCAAGACTTCTGCTTCTGCTGCCGGCTCTCTGGGCTGGTGACTTCCTGCTGGGGAAAGAAGAGAGAGCAAAGGGGAGGGGTGCTCTTAGGCTACAGAGTGAAAAATAATCCGCACAAGATACACAGAGTAGCTTCCACTGAAAATGGCTGGCCCAGAAATGACTGTAGCAGAGCACATACAAGGATTCCTCCAGGTGGGACTGGAATCCTGTCCAAAACCCTTCATAGCATGACTGTGGTATTCTCTACATATAGCAATTGCCTTTGCCAAGGCTCTCTGGTGTCCTGTGGACTCAGCAATAGCTTTAGAAGCTACAGGCGCTCTTCTTGATGGCTTTGGCCTGTTTCCTACTTTGTATATTAGGTGGCCAGCACCAGCAAATCCTCTCCCATAATGCACCTCTCTTCTTCCTTCCTCTCTCCCATTATCAAAGGATAACAAAAACTTACGCCAGGCATATTCTTTTCCCCACTCCCCGAAGAGACGCTCCACCGCTTTTCTCTCTGTGTGAGAACAACAAGAAGAATTAAGCCCATAGACTATGCCTCGCCTCCCACTCTGTGATCCAACTCAACCTGGGCCCAAACTGTGGTATTTCTTGGTGTGGAATTCAGCAGAGTTTACACTAAGGATGGGTGAATCGGAGGATTCCTAGTCTATGTCACTTTGTAGTGTGTTTTCCTCTTGTCTCCACATTTAATCTGCTTTTTAAACATCCTCAGTTGCAGGCACAGCTCAGCTATTCACATGGTTGTAACAGGGGTGGAATTGTAAGCAGTGTGGATGGTTGGAGTTGGTCAGGGGGAAACAACAGAAAAAGTACAGATAGTGACAGTTCAATTAAAGCCAGAATACATGTAAGAGAAGCACAGTGACCCTTTTCCAATAGCAGTGATAAGTGACAAACAATTTGGCAATGCTAGGGTTAATTATTTATTGTTTTATTTATTAAAATCCATTCTAGGACCCCAAAGTGGTTTATAGAACAAAATTCATCACTCAAGTGTTAAGAGCATAAAATCTAAATAAAATCAACAGCAAACTCTAAACAATGCTGGGGATATGTACACTATCTAAAATTGGCCAATAATGTAGTTGCAGAAAAGCCCAAGCAAACAAATGGGTTGGATGCAATGCTAGCCCTGTTTGGAGATAATGGACATGACTAACTTAAGTTCTTTAACTTCAACAGGTCAACTCTGAGTAAAACTTAGTTGGATACAACCCAATGTCCTCTTAGCTGCCTTCAGAAACACCCTACTGTGGATGCCTCCTATATAGCAGGTGAGTATAGTATTGGGAGAGAAAACCATTGTCTCAAAGAAATTCAATTCTGTTCATCAAGAAGTTGACTCTATTGGTCCATAATAAGAGTCCTAGTTTTTAAGGTGCCATGAGACTCCTTTTTTTTAATCTTTCATGTTTTAGTGCAACTTTCTTTTAAAAAGACATCAGTGGTCATCCTGTCCAAACGAACCCCAAATGTGAAATCCGTGTTGCACCAATTCAATTATTTCATCTGCCCCGACTTCTGCATATGCTCAGGAGCATTATGGTGTCACATGTTCCAGAGGCATTCAAAACAGGTGCTGTGTTTGAACCACACACCCCACCCCCGCCAATCAGATTAAGCCCTGCTCAATACTATTGCCAGATGCTCTCCAAGCCTCAATGAGGAAGGATTTTGTTCCTTTGTTTTCCTCCCATTCTTACCTTTGCTGCGTTGGTAGCTGGAGCCCGATACCGGTCCAGTGTGTGGAACTTTTGATTCAGCTCGTGGTAAAGTTCTGAGTGGCGCTTTCTTGTATGCATGACTTTCTGCAGATTTTTAATCAACAAGTCCCGAGAGGGGAGGGAGAGAGAGCAGAGAAAGAGCAGAGAAGTCAGTGGGCACAGGAGCTCATCTCCCCAAAGCAACTCTGGATGGTTCAAAGCACATGAAATGTAAGGAGCCCCTTACGCATCCCAGCCTGAGCCTTGGACTCCCTTGGCAGCCTTAAGCCAGCACTTGCTTGTGCAGCAGGAGTGGAGAACCTCATGTGGACTTCCGCAGACTCCTCCTCTGTTCACATCCCTCCTGCACACCCTCCTCCCCAAGCACTTCTGCTTGCAACACAGGAAGATGCTGCATTAGACTATTGGTCCTTCTAGCTCAGCATTCTCCGAACCGTGATAATGCCTTTTGTGTATGTGTGTGTAAGCTCTGACATTTGCATGGCTGGAATGTACCTTAATGCTAAAAAAAGAGAGAAGAAGAGTCACCTCCATTGCTCCACCCACTTTTTTGCCTTTCACCCTGGCAGGTTCCCCTCACCCCGGAAGGTTGTCCGGAAGGGAATACAGCCCTCAGGCCGAAAAATGCCCCACATCCTTGTTGCAGATGATGAGGATGATCAGTACTGGTCAACATTGCAGGGCTGTTCTGAAGATTTTTGAACCGGAAGAGTTTTGTGCTCTTAAGGGAAAATCTGTTTATTTCCCCAGATCAGGTGAGCTGGGATGACCAATAATATACTAATAATAAATATATTATCCTGATTAGTGTGGCACAAGGAGTAGCCACTTAGATAACAAGCATGAAGCAAACTCCATCATAGAATTGTAAAGTTGGAAGAGACCTAGAGGGTCATCTACTCTAACCTCTGCAATATATCCTTTTAGTTTTTGAAGGGGAAATTCAAAAGCATTGTTGAATTTCCACTCACAAAGAACCGGGGCTGGCTGGAGGCAGGCAGTAGTTTTTAAGAGAGCTTTAGGCGGTCTGAAAGAGGCATTGTTCCCTGTGGTTTTCTCATTCCTTGTGTCCTGTTGTGGTCTCAGGCTGTTGCAGGTTCCTGAAGCACTACAAAGCCTAGCAAATTCTGTTCACAGGATGAGGTGGGTGCAGTCTGGAAGGTCCTTATCATACCTTGTGTCAATGCTCCGGAAATCTATTGCCTCTCCCCTGCTGGATGTTAAGTGGCTGGCAGGATGGCCCAGAGTGTTGTTTTTCTTTTCCTCAGATCAACGACCAGAGACTCTGTCAGGTCAACGTTTATGGGCGGAAATCAGTTGATGATGAGCCTTTAAGGCTGGCTGGAGCTGCACCCCACTATCAAACCTTTCGCAGTAAGTGGAAGGATATTACCTCTTCCCCCATAAACTCAGCTAAAATACTCGCATCTCTGGCTCCGGCATTTTAATCAACTGCTAACGCTCTTTATTGCCTGTTATAAAACTTGGGGGCCTATTTCATCAGATTATGCTTAAATCAGAACCAGGAAAAGAGGCTTGAGAGAGGAAATAAACAAAATGGGTATTGCGGTGCCTACTCCCTTCCTCATGCATGACATATGAGACTCTCCAGAGACTGACTGGGCTTCTGAGAAGAGAGAGCCTTAAGTAAAGGGGTGGGGTGGGAGTTCTCTCCCCAATCCTGTTTTGTCTCCTTACATACCCACACACCAGCTGGCCCAAACCTTCTCTAACTTGTCACATGATTAGTTGTGCTCATGACTGTATTGGGGTGGTTACACATGATGCTGCTTTCAATACTATAGCTCAAGAGATCCCCCTCCAGACTAGCAACAATGCGATAACATTAGGGAAGCATTGCAGAACAACTAATAAAGTAGAATGGCGTGTGGGTGGTCCAGTATAAATCCACCACTAACGAACTATTGCTGTATTAAGGACAGCTTGCAAAATATACCCAACAACAACAAGAGTCTGGAGGGGCATGCCGTATATCCAGACTACAAACCTAATTGGTTTGAGACCAGCATCACTGACACAACCTTCCTCCAAAGAATCCTGGGAACTCTTGCTTGACATGAATAGCTAGAAATTCATAGGCCTCCTGGGCTCAGAACTACACTTCCTGAGGTTCTGTGGGGCGAGTGTAGGAGAGGGAATTATTCTTAAACCAGTTTAAGTCTGTAACAAACTGAAACTGATAGAGATCTGTATCATATAGACAACTGCTGTGCAGAGCACAAGAATAATCTCGTTGGGTCAAAGGAGGTCTCTTTGCGACATCAGGAAGAAGAGAAGACTGGGCAGGCACTTACCTCGAAATCCAGGTCAGAGTACCGCAGTCTTTTTCTCTGGGGAGGGATGTAGGCATACCACAAAGGAAACGGATGCAAAAAAGGGGGAAAAGGAAGGGAGGGAAAGAAGCCTTTACTAGTTTGTTCAGCATTTAGAGATACGAAGTTCTGGAGAGCACATGTATGGGAGGAGGACAGGCCCCCCCCCAAAGCCTAATAGCACATAGAGAAGAAAGGAGGCCTATCAACATGACTTGGGATGGGAGGATTGGAGTGGAAGTCTGTCAAAGTATTTTAGGGGAAGAGGAGAAGGAAAGACCCAAGCCATTATGGCAGCAGCACAAAAGCAACGAGAGGCAAGGGTCCCAACCCAAAATTCCTGAGGCAGTTTGACTGGCACTTCCTGTTTCCAGTTGACTAGAGAGATTTAGGTAGCAACCAAATGGGAATTGACCCATGCAATGGTTACAACGTTTAGGACTTTTCAGTTTGGAAAAAAGATGAGTAAGAAGAGGCATGATGGTACCCTGCCCATACGGGCCAGTCTTGACAGACTCCAGGGTTGTGCGCTCATCTCACTCTATAGGCCGGGAGCCAGCGCTGTCCGAAGACACTTCCGGGTCACGTGGCCAGTGTGACAAGCTGCATCTGGCGAGCCAGCGCAGCACACGGAAACGCCGTTTACCTTCCCGCTAGTGAGCGGTCCCTATTTATCTACTTGCACCCGAGGGTGCTTTCGAACTGCTAGGTTGGCAGGCGCTGGGACCGAGCAATGGGAGCGCACCCCGCCGCGGGGATTCAAACCACCGACCTTTCGATCGGCAAGTCCTAGGCGCTGAGGCTTTAACCCACAGCGCCACCCACGTCCCAGGCATGATAGGACAGCATAAAATTATGCTTGGTGTGGCTAAAGGGTTTCTCCCCTCCCTATTTCATAATTGTAGAGTTTGGGCCCATCCAATGAAGCTCAATGCTGGAAGGCACAGGGTAGATAGACAAAACAAAAGTACATAGTTTAAATCACAACAGGGGGGATCGCCAATGCACCCACGTCCTGCTTTCAGCTTCACACAGGCTCCTGGTTGACCACTGTGAGATCAGTATATAGATGGATTAGATGGGCCATTGGCCTGATGCTGCAGCCGGGTTCTTCTTAGTTCTTATTGGTAGCTGTGAAACTCTTCCGCTCCCCCAGAAAGCCACATTTCTCTTCCCAACTCAGAAAAGCTGCCGCCTGTGGCTTTGCACAAAAACTGTGGGCGCACATATGCGTGTTCATTAGCAACTGCTGGTGAGCTGAAGCCAACTCTTAATTGATGGGAGGTTATTCCCACAATCAGCTTTGTCTGCAGTGACTTCTTTTCTCCTTTGAGAAGCCAGACTTGAGGGTGGAAACCCCCCAAAATCTGCCTTTTCACAGCTGCAGGGAATCTGTTTTGCAAACAAAGTGGGGGGTGGGAAAGGACACTGAGCAAATGCCACATTTGGTGAAGAGTGGATAAAAAGAGATGAAGCAAAACCCAGCTGGTCTCCACACTGATCTGTAGGGTCCTTTGGAGGATAGAAATGAGTGCCAAAGTGGGATGGGGAAAGGCACCTTCCATGCTGATCATGAAAGTCTGAATGGGTACTTCTGTCTACTGCAGTAGCCTTTGGCAACCCGATACCCTCCAGATTTTTGGACTACAACTCCCATCAGCCACATTCCAAAGCATCTGTAGGGAACCAGGATGGCAAAGGCTGTACTACAGAAAGAACGCTCTCCCTCCACACAATTCTTAACCCTTTCTGCTTGGTGCCAGCACCTCAACTTTCAATGGGTGTAGTGATGCTACAAACTTAAAAATAACGTCACAATTGCTCACCTGTGGAACCCTGGGGACTGTAAGCTGTGCAAGAACTAGGCTTGTGTACCAGCACTTTCATCATATTGCTGTTCCCAGGATTCTTTTTTTGGAGCTAGGGAGCTATGATGCTAAACTGATTATAATTACAGTATTCTTTGCTGCAGATTGGCCTTTACATCCTTTGGAACATTCCTCAGCCATTGCATTAATACATGCACACTCCCCTCTTTTTGTGGCACCCTGTATTCATGCTCAAGCCATCAACTTGTGCATCATTCTATAGATTTACCTGCACAGACATAGATTTTGCCCACGCACCCTCTCTTCTAGCGGGTGCATAATTTAATCTTTTTGTAAACCGCTTTGAGCTTTTATTACAATCAAGCGGTATATACATCTTTTCAAATAAATAAATCAATAAAGTGGTGACCTGCAGATAAATACAGATGTAGGCATGCAGACTCGATGCCCATTCCCACTTTGAGAAAACAGCGTCTACACCAGCCTTGCTCCCATCAGCTACAGACAGCACAGCACTGTATTGGCCAGAGCCGATAGAAGTTGCCGTCCAACATACTTGGTAGGTGCTACATTGGGGGAGGCTGACCTACATGCCGACTGCCTCCGCATGTCATCAAACAAGCTCCTGGCCCACTCCCGCCCACTGCCGCTCTTACCTCCAGGGAGCCCACCTTCATGGCGGAGCCAGGCACAGTGCGTGGCATGGTGCGGCTGCGCTCTGACAGCTCTGAGGCCAAGATCTGCCGTACTGTCGGGTGCTGCTTGAACTGGAGGCCGTAGGGGTGCTTGACCGTCCCGTACGGCTGGTTCAGGTTCACGTTGATGTGGTCCATGGAGGCAAAGCTGGGGTAGGCTTCGGCTTCCATGGGGTGGCGGCCCTTGGCCAGGCCCGGCGCGTCATCCAGTTTAATGTTGAGCTTGCCCTCCTCCCTGGTGAAGGGCTTAAGGCTCACTGTCCGCCGTGGCAGCACCATGTAGTTGCTCTCCAGGGTGGCCTCCTGTGGCCGCAGCCACCCATAGTCCAACTGCCGCAGGCTGCTGTCGCCACACAGGTACACCGCCCCCCGAGCTGGATCCAGGTTGACGTCCTTCTTGGCAGGAGGGTCGTTGAGCTCGTTGAGCCCTTTCACCACGTTGTGTGTCATTTTGGGCACCTGGACCAGGATGGAAGTGGGTGGGATATTCCCAGGAAGGGTGGAGAAGCCCAGGCTGCCCTCGGAGCTGGTGTTGAGCTTCGGATCCTCGTCCCCATCCAGGGAGATGCGCGACAAGGTGCTCGTGATGGTGGCTGGGTTGTTAACCTCTTTGAAGAGGACTGGGAGGGAAGCGGACAGTCAAATGGAACATGAAACAGTTTCTGGGAGAATTAAGGGGAGCACCTGCGCTTAGGGAATGCTTCAGTCTGCGGGTTTGGGGCTGGGGGGGGGAGGAAGTAAGGTGGAAAAGTCCCTTTGGTGGGAACACTTCTCAGTCTGAAGAGCACACCAGGGGAGGGTGTTAGCTGGTGCTTTTGTCATAAATGGAGGTAACAAGAGTGGTTTTTCCAGGAACCTGGAGATCCAGGTGTGCTTAAAGAACGGTAGGCCAGAAGAACCTGGAAGATGAGGTGGAACTGTCTCTGGGCACCTCTGGGCATGCAAAAGCTGTGAGCTGGCATTTGCTAGCCTGGTGCCCTCCCAATGTTTTGGTTTTCAGTTCTCGTCAGCTCCAGACAACATAGCTATACAATGCTGGGGGAGATGACAGCATGGTCATGCTGGCTGGGGATGATGGGAACTGGCTGTGCAAAATATCAGGAGGGGACCAGGTTGGCAAAGACCACGGAACTGAAATTGTGAGCTGGGTAGATGACATGGCACAGGGGAGTTCCTTGTGGCCAGTTGTGAATACTGGGTGTGTGTGATTAATCGGAAGCCCCCTGAGCCTTAAGCTGGAAACTCATGGGACTGACAGCTAGTCTCTTTTGTCACCAGCTTGACCTAGCCCTTCCTATTTCCTTCCTGCCTGTGGGATGTGCTGTTCCTGGGGGGCTCAGGGGCTGGTTGCCTAGCATAGGACCATCCTTGCCAAAAACTATGCTCCTGATCCCTCTTCCATATGGAGGCCCATGTTCTGCAATGTCCTTAGAAAGAACTGGCCCCTTCCCTATTCAATGATAAGCTCTTCCCAAAGCCTCCCTGACTGACCCATACGAGTGCCAGGGAGAAAGGAAGAGGGACTCACCTGTCTGACACGCCAGGTCAACATCCTTTTCAAAATCTGTCTATAAAAACACAGAAAGAGGGGGAGAAAGGGAGAGAACGAAAGAGAGACGAGAGAGGAAGCGAGAGGAAGAGACAGAGAGAAGGTGGGAGTGGAGAAATGAATGCATCGTGGGCAACAAAGGTGGCTCAGTGATGTTCCTTAGCCAGCTTTGAGCCTTTCAAGAGGCATAAATATTACGCTGGAGAAGGGAGACCGAGTGCTTTTTGAACATTTTTAGGGAGTTGCAGCCAACTACATTCTACTCAGAGCACTCAAGGAAATCAGTGGGCTAAGTTAGTCAATGCCTCTACTCTGCGTAGGCCTAGGATTGACTAAAACATTTTCTTTTGGTGATGCCACATAAAACCCACCCACCCACCCAAGCTCAAATGATTGTGCTGTCTTTTCCTGTTCATATGCAACATGGTGGTGTTAAAATCTGACAACTGATTGACTACACACACACACACACACACACACACACAAAATATCAAAGATGGACATGCCTTGGATGTGTTGAAAGGCTAAAACATAGTGGCCAAGGGCTTGAGCTATGCAAGCCAGTGATTTAAGTCTCAGTAAACAGTAAACATAACCTCCCTAGATCAGTCTTTCCTAACCTGGTGCCCTCCAGATGTTTTGGACTAGGACACCCATCAGCCCCAGTCCCCCTTTGTGTCTCCTCTGTAGTAAAAATAACATTAGCTTAGGCCACAGAGCACTTGTAAGAATCACTGACAGCATACTTAAAAACACTTGTGGGAAGCACTCTATAAGCACGGACCATTCCTTACTGTGTGTGCCCAGAAAGGTTCTAGATCATGTCAGCATCAGCCCTGCAAATATCCCATCAAGGAGGACTCAGCCAAAACAAGCTTGCAAAGGCCCAGAAGAGGATGCAACACCCTTTGTGCACATGTGACCGGTTCTCCCTCCCCCACCCTACAACATGGGCCCCACACTCACTCACCATGATCTGGACTTGCCCATTCTTGCAGGAGTCAGGGGAGTTCTCATTCTCGTCACTCTTGCACACTCCGATCTGGCACTTCACCACATCTTGTACCTGGGAGAGGTACAGACAGGCAATGTGGTCTCAGGTCTCTGGAGGCCTCAGACCTTCTCCCTCACTCTGGCTCCTGTTCTGTTGCTACTTCCCCCACCAACCATAGCCAACACTGGCGGTAGAGAGGATCAGGTTCCATCTCCGCCTGTTGGCTAGACCAGGGGTGGGGAACCTTTTCAAACACCGAGGGCCACATTCCCTTGTAGGCAGCCTTTCGGGAGCCGCATGCCAGTGACTGCAGGAGGGGGGAAAGGGGAAAGATGCAGAAGTGGGCGGAGCAAAATGGAGGTGCATGAGCTGCGGGCGGCATGTGCTTGGGGAGGGCTTTGCATCAGTTTCTGCTTCCGATCGTGCGGCAACGAATTTCCTACTGCTGCTTATACACTGTTACCTTGGGAGTATTTGTGAGCTAGCATCAAGCCTCCCTTCAAACCCCCCCCCCATGCTTTTGTTTATTAGTCTGCATAAATTGTGACTCGCTCAGCTTGCGTGCCTAAAGCACACCAGACGTTTTGGATGAGCTTCTTAGCACCCCGGTGCCAGCCTTAATGCCGCTGAGCGACCAAATCTGTGGCAAGGACATGGCCGTTACTAGCTCCTCACTCCTGACAGGAGAGTGAGGGATGTGGAAAGCAGCTGGCAGCAGCGGGCGTTGCATGGGCCACCTCTGCGGGGCCTGTGCTTTATGTTTATGGAGCAGTCGCTCACCACCCATCGGGCGAAGATAAATGGGGGAGTGTAAAAAGTCAAGGGTAGGGAGGAAAAACTCTGGCCTGCAGAGTGCATATGGATGAAATACAAAGAAGGTTGTCTCCATATAGGCTGAGGGAAATGTAGCCAATCTCTACCCGTGCCCCAGACAGCCATTAATTGGACTGGCTGATTTAGAACCCCAGCAAATGAAAGTGGCTTGGGATGGCAAAGGCCATTTATTTATTTTTTGCTTCATAAAAATTATATACTGCTTGATAGTAGGGAAAAACCTCAAAGCTTTGAACAGTGAGGTGTGTGTGGAATAAATACATTGGGGGGATTCTCCGTCCCTGTGTCCCATCAAAACGACTGCCCCCTCTGTGTAGGCCAGGGGTGGGGAACCTCAGGCCCAGGGTCCAAATGTGGCCCTCCAGGCCTCTCCATCAGGTCCATGGACCCCCCAGGCCACACCCCTCTATGGCTCTGTTTGCCCGCCAGGTGTGCAGGTGTAAACTTCTGGACTGTGCATGGCTTGCATGTGGGCTATGTTGCTGCTATTTCTCCCACTTTTTACCTCTGGCTACATCTACCACTGGTATGTGGCCCCTGGAAGGCTGCCCCTGAGGGAATGTGGCCTATGGCCTGCAAGAGGTTGTTCACTTCAGTGCAGAACAGTGATTCCCAAATGCTAGACAGAAGAGGTCGACTTATTATCTAAATGAAAACTGGAAAAACCTGCTGTTCTTAATGCTGAGCTGAAATGTTCCATTCCTAGGAAAAATGGGAGTACCAGCAGGGGCAGACCTAAGTGGTTTTTATTTGGAGGGGATGTCAAAAAGGTTTCTGTATATGAATTTATTGTCAGAGATGGAAAAAGGCTTGAGGGTTAGTTTGTTTTTTAGATGCCTGTTAAACCAGCCTAATTTTGAGAGGCTACAAATTGGATAATTGTATTATTACATCCCACTTTTTTATTTCAAGGTGGGGTGCATGGCTCCCCCCCCCTCATTTAATCATCACAAGAACCCTGTGAGTTACATTAGGCAGAGAAATGATGACTGGCCCTGGTCACCCAATGAGATTCAAAACCCTGGTATGCCGTGCCCTAGCCCAATGCTCTAACCACTACACAACAGCAGCTCTTGGAGAGGAGTTCATTGGTTCGTTAGAGTGTGGTGCTGATAATGCCAGGGTTGCAGGTTCAATCCCCATAGGGTATACCAGCACATTCCTGCATCTTGGTACTGCATCTAAGGATCCCCTACAATTCTACGATTCTTTGATCTCTCCTTCATGTGTTTTGTGTTTGTTAAAATAATGACTCAGGAAAGAGAAAGCACAGCAATGGAGGACACCCAATGAAAGTCCCAGCACATTGGCAGTGCATGTCGCCCACCTCTCTGCGCAGAAAGCAGTGGACCGTGATGATGACGAAGCCCTGGACCGAGTTGAAGACTGCAAAGAGGACCTGGAAGAGGATGGAGCGCCGGTCGGTCATGGCGAGCACAGCCGACATCCAGGTGAGCGCCAGCAGGGGAAGGACCACGCAGGAGCTCCATAGCGATGCCCTGGGAGGGGGGCGGGAGGGGAGAAGGTGTGAGAGAGAGGTGCAGGAGCCAATCACAAAGGAGAAGGGGAATGCACACAGGCCGGGTCACCCATGCCACCCGACAAGAGGCCCTTTGGTAGGTGACCAAAGGAGTTTGGGAGGGGGCAGAAGGTGATGGCAGGAAGCAGTTTAGTGCTGGCAGATGAGCATACATTAAGCAACATGGCAGAGGGTGGAGGGTTCCAGGAACATATGGATCTGTTCAGTTATGCTTATATTTCTAGAGAGATGTTTGGGCTCTGTGCAGACACCATGAAAAATGTATGGGCTCCCTGCTTCCTTCAGTGAAGGAACACACTCTGCACCTGGTCAGAGGCATTGGCCACTTGTCCCTTAAGGCTCTATGTTGGAGCATGGCAGTTAGATACACTCTCCCATGTCTAGTGGATTCTGGTGGCCTTTAATGATGAGGACCACGAGGAAGACCAAGGTTCCCCTGCAGCTAGCAGTTTGGTTATTTTCATTTCCTTCATTTTCAACCACCTCAGCCTTGTCTTAGCCGCATCTCAGCTTCTTACCTCAGTCTCCCAACCCACCCTAACTTATCTGCCACATAGCTTTGCCTTTCTGGGCAACAGCTACATGGCTTCTGCACCTTTTCTTGCAAGTACACCAGGGGATGCTAAACCCCAGTTCAAGGGGCCTGATCTGTCACACTGCCTGCCATTTTTTCTGCCCCACTGTCTGCAGCACCTACCAATATCAGATCTGCAAAAAACCCGGCTCCTCCATGCATACCAGTGCCCTGATGGGGACACAAACCACCTCCCTCCCTGGTCATCAGAGTGATCATTTGATAACAAGGGAGGGTGCAATAACCTATGTCCTCAGCTGATCTTCCTGGATTAGATGAGAAACGGGGGCTGTGTGCACCCTGTAAGGGTTAGGGGTGTCCACACTGACTTCTGGCATGTGGCCCCTGGAGGGTGGGCCAAAGGTAAACGTGGCCTTTAGGCCACAAATTGTTAGCCACTCCTGTAAGGTAAAGGGACCCGTGACCATTAGGTCTAGTCGTGACCGACTCTGGGGTTGTGGCGCTCATCTCGCTTTATTGGCCGAGGGAGCTGGCGTACAGCTCCCAGGTCATGTGGCCAGCATGACTAAGCTGCTTCTGGCGAACCAGAGCAGCACATGGAAACGCCGTTTACCTTCCTGCCAGAATGGTACCTATTTATCTACTCGCACTTTGACGTGCTTTCGAGCTGCTAGGTTGGCAGGAGCAGGGACCGAGCAACGGGAGCTCACCCCGTTGTGGGGATTCGAACTGCCCACCTTCTGATTGGCAAGTCCTAGGCTCTGTGGTTTAACCCACAGCACCACCCGCATCCCAGCCACCCCTGTAGTAAGCAATAAATAAATGTAATTGCAGCCTTGGCATTGGCAGGGTCCCAGTATCCAAGAACTGGGGTGAAAGAGGCAGCTGACCTGGCATTTGAATTTCTGTGAGGCCTATGCATTAGCTCCCAGCTCTGTCTACACTGACTGGGCACCCTCCTGAGGTTTATTTCTTCAGTGACACCATCGGTAAGATTGTGGGTCAAACTACACTAGCTGGTGAGAGATCCATAAGAAGCTTTTTCAGTAGGATGTAGGCTTCACAGAGGTCCAGAAAGGGACTGGGGACTGGGTAGGCCAGGAGGTTAAGGAATAACTGCATCCTTTGCCCTCACCATGCCCCACCTCACAATCCAATGAGTGTGGTACCCAGTGCTCCCCCCCTTAAAAATGTTTAGGGGTACTCTCGTTTTGACTCAAGAAAATCACCATTTTATAGTTCAAATTGGGTAAAAGAAGTACAGTAAATGGACAAAAGTAGAAAGATTCACAAAATGTTTAGGGGGTATGCGTCCCCCTGCGTCGCCCCAGAAAAAAAGCACTGGCTGTACCACATTTTCTCTAGAAGTATCCTAATTGTTAAGAAGGGGTCTTGCAACGCAACTGCACTTTTCTTTTTCTAAGATGAGAACTGTCCATATCAATACAGCTCTTGCAGAGACATAGCACCTCCTCCCCAAATTGCACATCTGGTCACATTTGGGTGGGGTGAGGAGAAATGTAAAAATAAAATCCATTTTAGAGCTGCTGTTTAACTCCATGCACATTGCCCTCTTTGCCTTTCCAGATCAAAATGGAAAATTTTCCCAGATGTGATGGATTCCCTTCATTTTCTCTCTGTCATGCAGAGAGAGAAAGAGAGAGAGATGAGAAAAGGGAGGCAGCCGCAGCTCATGCATGTGATTAATTAGACCTAACTATCTTTTAATTCTAACGTCTCCTCTTGTGCTTCACTCGGCTGTTAAAGGCTCATTATAGGAAATGCAAGGAAACAGGGAGAACGTTCCTGGCAATATAATCGGGAGAAGACACTGTGAAGGGGAAGCAAATGGAACCAAGTGGCACCTATTGCCAGCTTGCCAAACATCACCTGAAGGTTTGTTTCCACCAGTGAATTTTGTGGTTTGCATAGTTCCTCGCTCCCCAATTTGTTGAGGGTCCTGATTTTGGTCTTGCAAGAAAGTGCAGCCCACCAGGCAAGGCTCCTGCATAAGCCTTGTCAAGGGCAGGACAGACAGAACTATAAGTAAGGACGCCAGAGAATCCAGTCGTAAATGGAAATGGGGACAGAAACTTCCGTAATTCGCATGTTTTGTGCAAGGTCTGAAACAGAAACCATGCAAGCAAATGCAAGCAGAAGTGGCTATTGTTCTTTCTTTAGCCCGCAAATGTTACGTAAAAAGTTACACTCTTTTCTGCACTGTTTGTGACATTTCCCTTCCGTTGAAATGCATCAGAATTAATTATGTCAGTTTTGGCTAACGCTGATAGTGAGAAACATAACGTAGGTTTTAGTGGAAGCCAAACTGTAGAGGAACGGAAATGGAGCTGATTGCAATGGACAGAGTCAGTCACTGACATTGGCTGTGACTTTAAGAACTTCTGCTTGGGATATTTCCTCCTCCCTCCCCGTTCCCCCTTTTTCATGTGACATGATGTCTTTTCAGTCTGCGAGCTGAAGGGCTGGGACCCCCTTAGAACTGATTTTTGCCTACCACTCTGGGAGGCTCTCTGGCTATAATGGGCAGGGCATAAATGCTTTAAATAGATAAATAAGCAAGGCTCATTAGGATGAATGGGAGCTGTGCTGGAGCATGAGAGTGCTCTAGGTGCTCAGCTTCTCATTTTTGCTACATTTAGTTTGCCCCATTTCCACATAGGCTGGTTGTTTAAATTTTAAGAAAGTCCATGTGAAAATATGTGTGCATTTCCATGCATGTTAATCTTGACATGTTCCCTCTACAAGCTATGTCTAGAATATGCATTTTTTGCAACCAAATCCCACCTGAATATGGGAAACTGGTGGTCTTCCAGATGTTGGTGGGCTCTTAACTCCCATCATCCATGACCATTGGCCATACTGGCTGGAGCTGATGGGAGTTGGAGTCCAACAACATCTGGAGGGCCACCAGTTTCCTAATACATTTGCTTGTCTGTCCTTTCCCCTCCCCCCTTTCTCTTTCATTCAGAGAAGAGCAAATTCTGAAGCGGAGCTATGTTTCAGTTTGCGTACCATTTCAGGAAGTGCAAATGTGGTAGGTTCACATTAAAATGCAAACAGAATGGATTTCTGTCCCATCCCTGGTGGGTGCCAACCGGGCCTAATTCTAGAGGCTTATAAGAATAATCAATTTGCAAGAGGAGATGGAGGAACTCCATGCTGCCCAACTCTCCCCTCCCCCCGGGTAGGTTGGACAAGCTGGTACATGGTTTCTGCCCTGCTGCCAAAATAATTTCCATCTGAAGCAATTCACACATAAGCGGATTTTTCTAAAAGTGCTTCTTCAGCAAGGTGTTGTTTTTTTGGTGTGTGGTTTTTTTACTGCCTTTAAAAATTAAAAAACCCTTAAGCCACAGTCACTTCGCTTCCCTGCTCATCTCCCTGGAGCAAGCCCAGATGCCGCTGGCAACAGACCTGGGAGCAGAAGAGCAACTGATGGCAGCGGAGTCAGTGTGTGTGGGGGGGTGTAGTTTAGCCTCAGGGCCTTGCAGGTACTGAGGAAGAGCAGGTGGCTCACAGTCCTTCCTGGTGGAGAGAGCAGAAAGGAGTAGAGTGACATTCTATGGCTCTACTACTGCAGCTGTTCTATTGAAGAGCTTGGCTCAAACATAATGCAGCGTCTGGGATTGCCTTGTGGGCACCCTAAAAGGACAGTAAACGAACAGTTCTTCAATTCATTAGATTTTTAAAAATAGTTTTTGAAAGTGTCTTTTTTAAAGAAAAAAAAATGACCTGAAGGAGTTTTGACAGTTCAGTGGAGAGAAGATTCTGAGGTGATAAATTCAACTGCACAAGCATCCCTCTCGACTGCCATTGCCATTTGGGTGAAGGCCAGACCTACTGGCTGCTTCTTGCAAATAGTTTTTGGCAGTGCTGAAAAACATCTTCCATTTGAAAAAAATAAAAAAATGATGTTGATTTTTCAGCACTACTGGCAAATGAGATGTTTCCTCTGTTCTTTAAACTGCCCTCTCTTACAAACATCCTCCATGACATCATGGAGCTAAATTCTGCATCATCAACATAATGACATCCCATTTGCTGCATGATCTAGGTCTGCAGCCTGGTGTCCTCCAGATGTTTTGGCCTACAACTCCCATCAGATGTGCTGGATAGGGCTGATGAGAGTTATGGTCCAAAACATCAGGAGGACACCAGGCTGGGGGATGCTGATCTAGGTGACAGATTCAGAAAGGAGGAGGTAGTTGAAGCATCCTAGGAAAGGCAGCACAGAGGCGAAAACAGCCACGTGAAGGGACCATGGTGCTGCCACATTGGGCACAGGGCATTTGCAGAACCTCAGTGCTTTGGGAGATGAAGTTCCACCCCACTGAAATGGCAGCTTCCAGCCAGCAATCAAGAAGCCCTGGTTTGGCAAGGAAAGAAGAGGTTTCAGTGGTGGAAAAGCATATGTGCTCTGAATGCAAAGGTCCAAAGTTCAATCCATGACCACTGGTGGAGGAACGGGAGCAGGGAGGGAGCAGACCACCCCCAGCACCACTATTCAGGTAGGGTGCCATCGTGGCGGGCCCCCTGGACACGTGCCACACATCCCCCCCACGCACCAGCTGCCACGCCTCCAGAACACGCGCCATGCCCTCGCAGGTGGCGTGCCACGCCCCCTGGGGGGCAGCCACTCCCCCGCCTGCTCTCTGCCCCCGGTAGCGGAGCATGCTGCTTTGCCACTGTCTATGACATCTCAAAGATTGAGGATCACAGGAATTCAGAAAACAGAGACCCTGGGAATTGGTTGCCAGCCAGACTAGACTGGTGGTGGGGGTGAGGAATTGGATCTGGCCCATGAGCTGCAGGTCCTTACCTCCCCAACCCCTGGAGGGGCCAACCTAAACAGTTGGATGGGGTCACCCCTCTCCCTGCCATCTGACAGGCAGATCCATTTCCCTTGGCCTAATCACAGCAGTGCTTGTGAAGGTGCAGCACTTCCAAAGTACCAACAAGCAGCTAATCCTTGTTGCTTCCAGAGGCACAGGGCTTTCTTTTTAAGTACCTATGCAAGCCCTACTTTTGATACCAGCCACTTCTTTACCTGCCCTTTACCCAGCGTCACATAGGAGCAGGTGGGTGTGACTTGGCTGAAACAGCCTTGTGGGCTGAATGGGGAGGCCTGGTGGACCTAATGAGATTCGGAGGCTGGAGGTTCCCCATCACTGCTCCATGGTATCCATCAACCGGCACTATAAAGAGGCTCCACAGCATCAAAAGTAATTGCTAGCTAAGGAATTGCGCCTTAAGTAAACGTTAGCAGTTCCCGTGAGAGCAGGTGACATTTCTAACTGTAAAATTACAGAGCCCAGCCGAGTGAAAGAAAAATTTAGCACCCATCAACATGCACTGTCAACAAAGCAGCCAGAGAGAGAGAGAGAGAGAGAGAGAGAGAGAGAGAGAGAGAGAGAGAAGGCAGCCAGCAGAGCAAGTGCATGAGGAGGACAGAGAGAGAGAGACTAACATGGCGCTGTTGGCAGTGGCAGTGAGCAGGGCTGTGCTGGAGACCACACCGCACTTGGTACATTTCAAGAGCAGGCTGCCACACGGGGGATCCTTGAAGCTGAGGGTGGTCCCAGTTCCACACCAACCAACATGCATTATGTGGCACCCACCAGCCCATCAAGGTGTGGAAGGGAAGAGGCACAGCAAGAAGACAAAGTAGCCAGAAGGAAAAGGAGGCAACAAGACCGACAGGAGGAGGAATGGGGAGAAAGCAATTGAGGAGGGGGAAAGAGAAGAGAGAAATAGAGAGCTGGGTTAGTTGCAGGAAGCACGGCTTGTTAATGGCCAGCATGAAGCAAGGCAGGCAGAAATTCAAGGGCAGGATTTAGCCCCTTTGGCAGATACTGAAGAGGAGGGGAAAGGCTGCCTTTTTGGGAGAGAGGGTGGGACTCGGCATTGTCCCTCTTCTATCTCAAGCTGTGCTATACATACTCAGCAGTGTCTCCTGACATTCCAGGCAACAGGCAGAGGCTGAGCCCTCCTCCCTGCCACGCCACCATCAACTGGAGCTCTGCTGCCCCAAAAGCTTTGAATGAGGTGTTCTTAAAATGAGGGTTTGAGCTTTTTGCCACTGTGTGTGAGAGAGAGTGGCTGTACGATCAGGGCAGGAACACTCTACACAGTGCCACTGATGTCTGCACATGGCAAAAATGGCACTTTGAGGGTGAGCAGAGCTCTGACTCTCAATGTAGAGCTGGGCAATTTGGGCACCCAAGCCTCTAAGATCGGCTTGCGCAGCTGGGCCCTGCTGATGACAGGGATGCTGCTTGCCCCAATGTCTCGTCCCCAAAATAAATTTGGATTTTTTGAGTGTTCATTACTTAGTAAGCTTTTCAAAGGATTGATTTGCTCAAAAATCCCATTTAGGGGCTGCTCCCCATTTCCTTGAAAGCCTTATTCTGGAGAAGGACAAGCAGATAATGAGTTCCCATCAACATGCAGCCAATGCACAGTGAGCCTTTTCCCACTGGGGGTTGTGGGGCTGTTGATCCTGAGCAGGAAATGCCATTCCCTGGGAGGGTTTCTGCTCAAGGGAGCCCTCCAATGCATGTTACCCTCCTCCCTTCTTCATGGTAAGGGGCTGGCAGGGAAATACAGTGCTGGGATATTAGTCAGTTCCACTCTGAGTCAGACTCTATTCAAAGTAGGGCCTTGAACAATTTAAAGTGGCCCGCCTCATTCAAGCTGGTGTTTTTTCAAACCTCCCCCATTTCTAAAAGTAATTTTATGCACACACATTTATGCACGAATGCACACAGACTCACATACGTGCACACTCCCATTCATTATTTTAATCTCTCTAGGACTCAAAATAGGAAGGGAAAGTGGAGTAGATGTTTTATTGCCGTTATTAACTCTGAGCAAAGCTGCCATGGGGTGACTTTAGCGGTGCATTTTTTCAGGGCTCACTTTCTCAACCTAAACCCACTGTTCTCAGCTGAGCCAGCCAGTGTTTCCAGCATCTATTGCAGCTGCCTGTGGAGAGCCCCCTCGCAACCCTTCCTCCCAGCATTGCTGCTGTTTTCCAGCTTGCTCACCCTCCCTCCCACAGAGCCTAGCTGCTTCTTGGGTTTGAAGCTGCATCGGAGAACAAGCGGGCTCTCAGCAGGCGGTTGTAGCAGCTGTTGGAACAGCTAGCTGCTACAGGCACCTGGAGGCTTCACACCATGTGGCACTCTGTTCGCAAGCGCTTGTGTGAAAGAGGGCTGGGAGGAGTTGATGCTCTTTTCCCTAAAGTAACAAAAAACTGGTAACTAAGTGAAGTCTGAGCAACCACGCAGGCAGCATGCAAACCTACCTTGGGAACTCAGAGTTATACCTTGTCTTTCTGAGATGGCAAAAGTGCATTTCTGATGCATTATAAAAGCTTTCCCCAAAATAGCATCCTCCAGATGCATTGGACTATAACGCCCATCAGCTCCAGCTAGCATGACTGTGCTGGATGGGACTGATGGGAGTTGTAGTCCAATACATCTGGAGGGTGTCAGTTTGGGGAAGGCTGTATTGCACCCAAAAAAGCTAAGGTCACATTGGATTCAGAAGGGGCAGTATGTGTATGCATGTGCCTGTGAAATCAAGGGAAGTTATTTTCCAATATGACTAGCAAAGCAGACTGCATTGGGGTTTTTTTGTGTGTCTATAAGTTGCCACCAAATTTTCAGCTGATCTTGGTGAACTTGGAGGTCCCTGCTTAGAAAACATAACAGTCCTTCCACATCAGAGCAAAGGCCCATTTAGTCCAGCATTCTGTACTCACAGCAGGAAGCCCGCAAGAAGGACCTGAGGACTACAGCAATCTCCCTGCTCAAGCTCCCCAGTGAGTGATATTCAGAGGGATACCGCCTCCAATACTGGAGGGAGTACACAGCCAAAAGCAGCTCACCAGATGGGATGGAGCCACTATGCTAGCTTCCCAGCAGGTGAGTTACTGTTGCTTAGTGGGAGAGAGCCCCTTCTGTATATAGCCAACATGGCTGGTAGCCACTGGTAGCCAAATATCCATATTAATTATTTTCAGAATCTGCTATAAGAATCAGATTGCTGGGATTTCTCCCTATAGAAGGGTAGTGGGGTGGGCTCCCCCCCCCCAAAAAAACCCCTTTATATTTTGCTCAGCAGGAGACAAGCACCCTTCCTTCCTACATCATTGCCCCACCACATATATGGCACCTTGTTTGCCTGGCAGGTACGCCAGCTTCAGCATTTTGTCACAAAAAGAGTGTCTGGAATTGGTGTGTGCAGTGTGTGTTTGTGTGGGGGGTGGCCTTACCCAGCTCGCTGCTTTTTGGACTTATCTGAGATGCCATCCCGAGACATGAGCTTGTTGAAGACGATGATTCCGATCAGCATGTTGACCTGGCAGTGGAGAGAGAGAGATCCACAATCAGCAGAATCCCAGGGCTATCTAATTTCTAGGCCCCTTAAAATTCACATTGCAGTAGACAGCTGTTAAATGAAAAAAGATGCCTCAAAGCGACTTACTATTCCACAAAATGCAAAAACAGCCCCTTTAAAAGCAAACAGAAACCCCAACAACAACAAAAGCAAAAGGCATATCAACAAAATTTCTTAAAGTGCTCAACCTAAAAGGGAGAAAATGACGAGTCTCCTAAAGGCCTTTTGCTCACCGGCATGGAAAGCGATGAAATGGCAGCATAGTAAATGATCCGCAGAACAAGCTAACGGCCACCAACACCACTGGGCAGCATTTGAGCACCTACCAGAACAATCACAGCAGCAGGGCCAACAAAGGCGTAGAGCAGCCCTCCTTCAAGAGACAGCCAGCAGCTGGGGAGAGAAGCCAAGAAAGAGGAGGAAGGGTCAAGAAAGATCTCAAAGTTTAAGGCTCCTGGATTCCAAGTTTTTAAACAGGGGCAGGAGAAACAGTGAATTTTGGTTTCTCTGTTTCTCACTTTTCCAATTTTAAGTTCAGTTCTCCATGTTTCATATTATTTTGATATTTTATATATATTTTTAAAATCCTCATGAAAATTCATCAGCATTTTAGTATGAATTTCTCCTTACATAAACACATTTTTGATGGAAGCCACCCAGTGGGTGGGGCAACCCACTTAGATGGGCAGGATACTACCACTACTAACATTAAGCAACTTTGTCTAATGTGCACATTTTTTCAAAGCAATTTCCCCTAATACACGACATTCTTGTATGAAGTTTTAATGTATACATGCATTTAAATGCAAGCATTACCCTAGTATATGCTTTCCCCCAAGCATTGTTTGGCTGGAGATCTGCATTACAATATTTGGAAAAAAATGTGAACTTTGAGGGTTGACTATGTTTTAGTTCACTTGTTGTTTTGGAAAGTGTGAATTAGGCTCATTGACCTTTAAATGCAAACTGATTTAAATCCTCCCTCCCTATCTATATCTACACAGCCTGCTCCCATCTCAGACGCATTGAGGGTTCTTAGGTTCTCCTTAGATGTTTCAATTCTCCTTCCCCCTCCCCATTTTATTTTAAGAAGATGAGACCAGAAAGCTTTGGAACCTATGGAACCTACTAGCTGGATGTTCCGTATCCTTTGGTCCGAGTAAAGCCAACAGAGACAGCAACTACCAAGGCTGGCAACCCTAGATGGGAAATACAGAGATGAAAATGCAGGCAAAGCCACAAAAGAATTCTGCATTTGAAGCACTTTGTGGAGAACCAGCTACCAGGGACGGGTGAACTGGGTCCAAGCGATGGGGAAAGGAACCCCCCCCCCCGTAAAACACACACATTTTTCCCCCTAAGCATTTGCATCATTAACTGCATTGCAAAATTCAGAGGGCTATGAGATTCTGACTGATATCTGTGTTCTGCATGTTGTTCGGCAGTTCTGAACTCGGACTGTTGAACTAGGTTGATTCACTTTAAAATGCAGCCTGAATAAAATCCCCATCCATTCCTACATCTGACCATCTCACAAACCATCTTGGTTTCTATGAGCAGTCCTTTGGCACAGTCCCCAAATCCCCAGGGGGGTTGAGAGCACTTGCAAAGAATGCTCACAAAACCCAGCACGATATATTTTTAATGCATCCTTGGAATGGAGGGGGAGAGGTAACGGGCAGCAGTAGAGAGTTCTGCTTACTACCAGTGAAGCATGCAAGCCTGCTAAGCTCTTGACCTTGAAGTGACAGTTCTGACCATGCTCAGACCCACCATTTTCCGCTGGGACCAATTGGGCTGTTCTGAGTAAACTGCAGGTCCCTTGATCCCACAAGGAAATTATGTTTCTGAGCATGCTCACCCTGCTTGATAGTGACCTCGGCGTGCTTCCAGCGTCAGTTACTTCCCCATTTTGCAATAGTAAGGGTTATTTTTCTTTTCTTCCAAAGCAATGGGGAACTGGCAGGGGAGGGCATTAATGACTTATTTTGAGGATTGACCCAAAAAGGTGTGTAGGTTTGCATGAATCAGGTTTCCCTCCCCCCCCCGCAAGCAGTGATTTTGTTCTTGCTGCTTTTGCATTTTGAGTTCCCCTGCCCACAAGTGTTTGCCCCGTTCCTGGCACTTGATTCACACAAACCTCTGTAAGAAAGTGGTTAGAGGGTAAAATTGCCACACACAGATTTTCTACCAAGTTCCACTCGACTTTCTACCAAGAATTCTTTGATTGTGTGGCCCAGTCTTACCTTTCTCTCCCTCCCTACCCAGAAGGTTAAGTTTGGGAAAGTGGGCGGGGAGTGAAATGAATAGCAAGCAAAGTTGGCATACAGGTGAGCTAACTACAGACTGAACTGCTGGTTACAAAATGAGCCAAGCCAATCTGCAGAGAGGGGTTTGGCTCACCTTGCAATGGCTCACCTCATAAGCTGGCCTAAGTTTTCCAACCTGCAGGAGTTATTTTCTGAACATTCCCAATTCTGGACATCTGGGGTGCTTCCTGACTGTTGCTGTTTGCAGACGGGAGTTAGTCACCTACCAGCAAATTCAGCTTGCACTATTAAAGCTGACTGGGAGCTCTTGTGCTACAAAACTGCTTCCCCAAAAAGATATGAGATAGCGATAAGGAAAATGACAGGGAAATGCACTGGAAAGTGTTGGGTAATAACACTTGTTTTGACACAACATCTAACCTACCCACGAACGAATCAGAATGAACACTCATTAAATAGTCAGTGCATCTCCCTGCAAAAAGTAAGGATGCCCAATAAACTGGTCTGGAAACCCCCTTGATGCCATGCCAGGTTCTGATTTTGTTGCACGTTAGGTGAAGCTTTCATTCTCCTCACACTTCCCAGTTTGTGAAACTCCTCCTTCCAAAAGCAATTGGGTGCAAACTGTGTTTTGCCGAGATCAAAGACTGGCTTGCAATAAGCATGCACATCCCTTGACTGCTCTGCACCTTACTGATTGCCTTCATCACCAAAGCATTGTGCTGGTGATGACAGCAGGTGCTGAAAGAATTCCATTTGCGGTGTTAGAAGCTGGCAGTGAGGAAAGGCTGGAGGAAGCTCTGCCTGCAGAAGAGAAGACTGAAAGAACACATGGCAGCCTTATACAACTGAGAGGGGTTTCACACAAAAGGTGAGAAAGACTTGCTGCCTGCTGCCCTACAAGGCAGGACAGGACTAGATCTAATGGGCTGAAGTGACAGGAGGGTAGGTTTTGGTTGAACATTAGGAAAATAAACTTTGTTAACTGTAAGAGCAATTTGACAATGGAGCCAATTGCCCAGAGGGGTGAAGGGCTCTCCCTTACGGGTGCTGGGACTGTTCTAGTTCTGGATTCCTTGCACAGAGCAGGAGTTGATCAGCCTTCCCCAATCAAAAGCCCTTCAGATGCTTTGACTACAACTCTCATTCGCCTCGGCTAGCACAGGACTGATGGAAGCTGTAGTCCAACATACCTAGAGAGCACCAGGCTAGCAAAGGCTGGTCTAAGTGGCCTAGAAGGCCCCCTCCAACTCTAGGATTCTGCTGGTTAAGTCACTTGCACCTTCAAGCCACTTCTTGGATGCTATTGCTGCAGTCAGTAAGGTTTGTATCTGATGCACAGGTTCACCTTGAAGCTTTATTATTGTTTATTGCCAGTGGCCACGACAATAAAACACATGTGTAAAGAAAGATAATCATCAAACCAATAAGACAGGGATGAACCCTGACAATACAATAAACAAGATTTAAAACATTCATTTATTAAAAATGCTTCCCTTAACATTTAGCACTGATCCAATTCAGAAAGGCCTCTACAACTGCTGAAAATAAAGTGAGCCTATAGCTGACGGATTCTCCTAGATCAGCTAGCAGCCATCTTATTTTAAAATCAGCTGGTTGGGCTTGTAAACAGGACTGAATGGGGAGATTAAACTTAACCTCCAATGAATTGTATAAAGAACAATGTAAGATATAGTGCACCATATTCAGTTTCACCTGTTCTGCATACACAAAAACATTCCTTTTCTGGCCAATCAGAAAATCTAACAGGCAAATATTCAGTTTGGGATGTAAACTGAGTAAAAGCATGCCTCTCGGGCAAAAAAAGTTAATTCCCACAAGTAGGTGGCCCTTTTATCGTCCAGCTTTATTATACGAAATGGCAAGCTTACAATTCTTAATGTACTCAAGATCCAATGTAGTGTGAAAGTCACCAAGCAGTATATTTGTTGCACTGGCAGAATTTTGCTGCACAAGATAAAACACAAGCACTTTACCCAAGATTGTTATGCAACAGGTTGCACCAGAAGAAATAGTTGTTGCACAACCTGCTTCTGCAAGCACAACTCTTGTGTTGGATTTCTTTGTTGAGCTACCTTTAAACTCCTGTGCTAGTGGACTGAGAATGTTAGATATGCCCGCAAGCAACGAATGTTCCTGCACGAACCAGACCTATAAGGCGATTACCCCTTTCCCTGTGTGATGCCTCCCTGATCCTCCCCACCCCCCACCCCGCAATCAGGGAGACAACACTTTGGTTCCAGAAGAGAAGACGCCCTCTTACCCCATCCGAGGCAGAGGAAGCGTTTACGAACTAGGCGTGTCCGGATCCTGCCAATCACAGCCAAGTAGGATTGCCAGGCCTCTGTCAGCACCCAGCAAAAGGAAGAGAGGAAGAAGAAGTGGAGGAATGCAGCAGTCATGGTGCACACGCCCTGGAGATTGGGGAAGAGAAGTAAGAGAAGGGAGTGAATGAGAGTCATCAGAATGCAGGAGCGTTCTACATAATTGAGTTGGGTTGTATTCTAGAACAAATGGCATGCATGCATTGAACCCCTTTCCTTGGAGATTCACTTTCCAAATCTAACTAATAATGCTTTTTTGCATTTGCGTATTTCAGGAATCAAAAGCAGGGGTGAGTGGAAGGCAGATTGGGATGCTGTGATGCATTATTACACGCTGGCTGTTCAGGAATTTAGTATGAGCCTCTGTACCTGAACCCTCGAGGGGAATTTCCTCCCATACTGGCAGATTTCTGTGTAACTTGCAATAGATCAGAAAGGGTTTGTGACGTGCAACTGTTTAACAACAAGAAAATGACCTAAATTAGGCTGCTGAAATAAAGAAAGCTAACCTCAGGAGTGGACTCTTTGAGTGTGAAAGGACTGTGAGCTCAATTCAGTTCTGGCACTGAAAACAAATTCACGGGCTCAGATGTGCCTCAGAGACACCCTGCCCTTTCTTTCTAACTGTATGTCTTTTGCACCTAGCTCTGGTTGACAAAAGCATGAAGTTCTACTAAAAATCCAAGTTGATATGGCAAACTGGGAAATCCAGAAATCCACGACCAAGCAAAGGGATTTCCTGTCTCACTCTTAGCCAGTAGCATATTGTGTGACTCTGCTTTTCCATGACATTGTCATCACTGATACATTGCTGTGATGTCATCGACCCAAATCACATGGGTCACCTTGACAATCAACTGGATTAAAACAACAGTGTGGGGAAATGAGGCCGATGATTGCAAAGGGAAGGGGGAAATTGCATGAAGGAGAACAGTATAGAAACAAACTGAAGGTAGGATGTGCTTTTTGACACTCCTGAAAAAGTTGTACTGTGAAGAAGGAGGCCTTTAAGCATCTGTGCTTGTTGCAATGGGCATATTCTAAATTGTGAAGGCATCTGGTGCATGAATGCACACACATGTGCATACAGCTCCCGAAACACAACGCTGATCACAGGGCCCCAGTAGGGATGGGGAAATCTGTTTATTTCAGTTTCTCTCAGTTCCTCATTTTTCCAGTTTTATGCTCAGTTTTCCACATCACTTTGCAAATTCCTTTTTGAAAAAAGCCCTCATGAAAATTCACCAGCATTTTAGGGCTAATTTCTCCTAACAGATACATATTTCCAATGCTTTTTTTCTGGGGGTACGCAGGGGTACGCATACCCCTAAACATTTTGTGAATCTTTGCACTTCTGTCCATTCACTGTATTTATTTTCCCCGATTTGAACTATAAAATGGTGGTTTTCTTGAGTCAAAATGAGGGTACCCCTAAACATTTTTTTTAGAAAAAAGCACTGCATATTTGTATGCATTTTTGCCTAATACACACATTTTTGCACAGTGATTTCCCCTATCATGATGCATTTTAATGCTGTTTTCACTAATATACACACTTTTATGTGCATTTTACCCTAGCATATGAATTTCTGAACACCTTACATGGCCAGGGAACTGTACTGCTAGTTTTAAAGTATGGCTAAGTTTCAGAAAGCGTGAATTAGGTAGCTTTCCTTTAAATGTCAACTAAATCAAAGTTCTCCCCCACCCAGGGGCAGAAGAAGGGGGCGGTGGGCAGTGGGGGCGGTTCACCCCAGGTGTCAGTACTGAGGGGGGTGACATTCGGCGTGCCACCCACCTGCAACTCCCAAGCCTACCCCGAGCTGTTGGGGGAAGGGGCGGAGCTACGCTGCCTTACCGGCAGCCTTCCCCCCTTCCCCCTTCGTTTTGACAGTTCAGGGGAGGCTTGGGAGTCGCTGGTGGGTGGTGCGCCGTTGCCTCCCACTCCCCGGCTGTTTCCTGGGGGGGGGAGAGCCTCCCCCGAGCTGTCAAAAGGAAGAGGGAAGGGAGGAAGGCTGCTGGCAAAGCAACACAGCTCTCTTCCCCCCCTGCCCAGGAAGCAGCCCACCATGGGTGGCTCGCTCCACCCCCCCCCCCATTCATGGCTCACTCCACCCCACTGGACACTCACCCCGTCCCCACGGCCCTGCCCCCGGGTGCACAGCCTGTGCGTCGCTCTGGGTGAAGAGCAGCTAGCTCTGCCTCTGCCCCCACCCCTGGGTTCAGCCGCATATGGAAATTTATTCAAAATAAAACGGACCCTGTGCTTGCAATGATACACTGCAAGCCCTGCACTGTATCACTGTGGGGCTGGATTTCAAAGCCTAAGGCAAGCGACACAACCGTCCCTTCCCGGATGCTGGATAAAAACTGGCAGAAGTGGCTGTTGTCCCCACCAGCCTCCCACCGACTTTAATCAGTCAATGGCTGCATTAGGCTTACTGGCATTATAACAAAGAGACAAGTGCTAATAGGGCATACTTGGCTCTGGTCCACAAGCTGGAGAAGGAGCTCAGCATGGAGAAGGGACACAAAACACCAGAAATGCACAAGCACAATTTGGGCCATGAGACACGGGAGATTCCCAATGTTGCAACAAACAGCAAAGGGATGGTCCACCAGCAACTTCAGCTAACGGGCTCTGCATTCAGCCTAAGCCAGGCCTGCACAATGTGGGACTAGGGACAGAGAAGAAATCCATTTTAAATGGATTTAAACATGGAATTTGGCAGTTCAAAACCACCCCTTGCATCGAGTGCCTGCTTTTGTGCATGTCTCCCATGCCTTGTTTTCTTAAGAGCCTGACTATGCATATAAACACATACAATAAGAGTCAAGTTCCACACTGTAATATATTCCTGCAGCATGATGTCACAAGTATATTCATATATACTAAGATCAAGCAGGTGCCTTCACTGTACTCTTTTCAGGGCCTGCTGAAAACATTCTTCTTTAGTCAAGCTTAGAAGGTTTAGGTAATTTTACTGTTTCGTATTGTAACTTCTAAACCATGAGTTTTTCCACGATTTTATTTTTTTTATCTTTTTGTAAACTGCTTTGAGGGTTGTTGTTTTTTTATACAAAAAACCCCCCAATCAAGTAATGTATAAATTTTATGATAAACAAACAAGCACATACAACCCATTAGGTACATTTTGTATGTATTTACTTCTCTGCTGGTTAATTTAGGAAACCTGCATATTTGTATAATATGTGATTAGCCTTAGATGTTTCAGCTTCTTATGGAGATTTAGGGATGGACAAATATGTCGCTTCACCCCATGCTTGTGAATTTCTGTATGCATTACTTGGTTGGAGAACTGCACTGCAGAAGCGTGAATCTTGAGGGATGGCTGTACTTTGGCTTGCATTTTCTTTTGGAATTAGGTACGTTCACCTTCAAATGTGAACTGAATCAAACTTCTCCATCACCCCTATGGCGATTAAGGAGCGAGACAGGAATTAGGACAACTGATGTGGATAAGGTAGACAGCGAGACCCTGCCTGTGGCCCATGAAGCTGAACACAGCCCATCAGCTGTGCATTAAGGCCTTTCAGGGGCTTGGCAGCTGCCCTGTTTTTGGACCTAGCATGGCCCAAAGATTTAGAAGCAGAGTGGCAGATGGGACACCTGAAGGCTGGGTGTGTGTGTGTGGATATTTGCACATGCATTTGTTCCCCTCTAGCAGCTCTTGTTGATCTTATGGTATTTTAAATATACTTTAATTTCTCTCTCAGAAACTTCAAATTGTAAGCAGGGTCTAAACACTAGAAAGAAAGAAAGAAAGAAAGAAAGAAGAAAGAAAGAAAGAAAGGAAGGAAGGAAGGAAGGAAGGAAGGAAGGAAGGAAGGAAGGAAGATTATCCTCCTGTGCCCCATTACAATCATATCTAGTATCTTTTTCTTTTTGGAATGGAAACCTAACTAGGCCAGTGTGCCAGAGGTTCCCTACCACTGACTCATAGGGTAGAGTGGCTGGGGAATAAACAAAAAATTGTTATTATTATTATTATTATTATTATTATTATTATTTATTTACACGTGCTAAGCAGTGAGAAATTTACAAGATACTTTTCATTCCCAAAAGAGCATTGTTGATTACCAAGGATTTTTTAAAAATCTAAACAATTGGGAAACTTTACAATCTGATAGTCTGCAGTGCTGAAAATTGATACGTTTCAACTTACTTTGCAATAGTTTTGTTTGTTTGTTTTGCAATTCATGCTAGCAATAGTTGCTCAATCGCAATACGATTCTCTCTTTTGAAAACCAAGCAACTCCTAATTGCCTGTCTCCAGCAGCAGTCCAGAAGCAGCAACTCCCCCGGCCATTTCATTAACAAGGGTTTCATCCAGCAAGGCCCAGACGTGCTAGCAGCTCCTCTGGCATACACATACCCCTCCTTGTACTACTCATGCCTGCAACATGCTTTCTGAGCTCCTCAATGTCTCTAGTACATCAAGAGGAAACGCTCCAGGGTGGTGATCTATTATGCACGAGGTCCCTTGCACAGCAATGGATGGGCTGCCTGGGGGCTGAGAGGGAGGCTGCAGTCACCTTTGATCTCCCTGGGCTGAAATTCCCATGTCAGTTCTGGAGGGTTTGCACTGTAGAAAGGGTAGGTGTGGAGGGGAGAATGGATGAAGATACGCTGCTCCCCAGATTGTAGCACAGCAAATGGAACCAGAGCCTGACAGAGTTGTTTTCCCCCAGAGAGTCAAATATGGCATGAAAGAACAATTGTTGTTTTAGATGGGCACATTCTTTTCTTCCCTATCCCACTGGTTAAAGAGATGCTACAGGTTTTGGAGTGCCATGAAACCTGCAAAACCCATGTCACCAGGGATAACAGCTGGACACAAGAAATGAGAGTGTACACCATAACACTTTTGTGTATAAAGTTCTGACTAGTACAAACATTTTTGCAAGCAAGCTCCTCTAAATTAATCAACTTCTGTATGTTATTTTCACTGTCATATGGATCCACACACATTTCCCCCTAACATATGCATCGGTGTGCATTCTGTGAAGTGCATCGCAACATTTGGAGAAGTGTGAAATTAGGCAGTTTCTCGGTAAAATGCAAAGTGAAATTTCCCCCCCATCACTAGTGGTGGCTGCTCTGCCCACCAGAGCTTTGGGTCCAAAGGGACCAGGCAGGCTGGAGCAGCTCCTCTGAGATTACAGTGGTGGAGTGGAGCAGGGGCCACAAGGGTGAGATGACTTTTTTTGGCACTATGGGATGGGTGGGCAGTGACAATGGTACAGTCCTCAACCCTTACATTTTAAGGGAGCTCGCTGAGGGCATCTTATCCTGGACTCCTCTCCTCCACTGTAAAACTGCTCTCCCCACCTGCAACTGATGCCCATGTTCTTTCAAGCCAACAAGAAACAGACATTCTGAGGCACTGAATTCTGTGCCCAAGCACTGCTTCTGTCTCTCTTAAATAAGAAACATTTTCCAGCACACAGTACTTCTTTACTCAGCTATGTAGCATTGCCCCCTTTTCTTCCTGGGTGTGCAGGCTGCAGATAACCAAATATTGCAATTTCCTTCATGCAGACAAGCACTAGGGCAGGCTCTCTCACTCAGTATGACTCATCTCCCAAACAGCTGCTGCCTCCTTCATTCCCTCTCAGTGACAATGATGTAGCTAGAGAGAGTTGGGGGAGATGGGGGGGGAGAGAAGTGACTGGGAAAGCTCCTCGAACTCTTTTGAGGTGGAACATATAAAGAGTTCTGGGTGGGGTGGGAGCTTCTCTAGGCCAGAGTTCTGTTCCCAGCTGCATTCAGCTTGCCTCTGGGAATCTGTGCCTTAAGGCAAAGATAGTCTCTATACACCTTCAAATATCAGGTTCCAAAGGCAAACGAAAGGAAGACACACAATCAGAAGCATAACCTTGAGAGAGAAGGGGCGGGAGGCACACATTATGTGAAAAGCTGTAGAGAGGATCCCCTCAATATGAATTTAGAAGTCAAAATTAAATAGATATTCTTTATGAGCTCAACTGTGTTTAAATATTTAAAAACAAGGTATAAAATACTCCATCTGCTGGGTTAATATTTAACATTATATTATTTCATGCACCCTGACTAGGTTGATAAAGTACTTTTTAGGTGCTTACATGATACTATTAATATTATTTAGCACCCAATCTTGCCCAACTTTAAACTTTTAAATCCCACTGATCTCAGTAGGAATACTTAACCTCATCTTTAAATTAAAGCTTGTCTGAAAGTTCTCCAACGGGACAGTTTAGCCTAATGTTGGTAGCTTGTGGGGGCACTGAAACCAGTGCCACCTTTGCACACCTGTTGTCGCCACTTCTGCTATTTCACAGCGGCGGCATCAAATGGCAGCAGTGCCTACTATTTCCCCATATAACCCTTATCAAGATGTTACATCATGATACAGCATTGCTTGGTAGACACCCTCACAGCCTTTATTTTGTCCTCAAAGGCCACTGAGCTGCTCCTCCTGTCACTTTTGCAGTCAGCAAATGGTGCCAAGAAAGTGGTGGAAGAGCCCATTGGCTTAAACCTCCCTACTGAAATCAAAGAGAGGTTCACAATTGCTTAACTTTAAGATACATCATTTCCCTAGTGTTCCATTCAAATCTCCATCTTAATCAAGCTGTAAAATCAAGATATCACGCATTTCGAAAAGGTGGCCTTTTTATTCAGATTTTGAATATCTGGCCCAAATTTTGAAAGTTTGCCTTTAGCTTTATAGAGAAGATGCGTTTTAAAAAGTGGAAGGTGGACAGATAGAAATCAATGTTAGAAGCAGCATGGAGCCACGCTCTCAAAGGCTGAAACAAAGTGGCATGATCTGCAGATGTCTTGCAAAGGAGCAACTTTTTTCACCTTACTGAGCATCTGGGACTGGCCCACCAGGATCAACACGTTGGAGGCCAAAATGGAGACACAGAAGTTCAGGAGAATGATGGAGCGTTCCGACTTGATAAACCTGCAAGAAAGAAGGTGATGGGGATGAGCAGCTTTGAGAGATACTTGGAGCACAGGGGCCAAATTGCACCCAACATTGGGGGGGGGCTGACGTCATGCGCATGACATCACGTATGCAATTACAATAAAAGGGGGTAAAAGTAGTATTCACTATAGAACATAATTCAAAACGACCTCCTGAAGTAATGGATGGGTCTTCCTGGATTCAGCAGTACCTTCTCTATGCCTTCCCCACTCCCTTTAGGATGCTGATTTTACAGAGGGTCCCCCCCTCCTGATTCTATGACCACACTGTTTTGTTGTAGGCTTTTAAATGGTGCCCTAGTCCAGGGGACGCAGGTGGCGCTGTGGGTAAAAGCCTCAGCGCCTAGGGCTTGCCGATCAAAAGGTCGGCGGTTTGAATCCCCATGGTGGGGTGCGCTCCCGTTGCTCGGTCCCAGCGCCTGCCAACCTAGCAGTTCGAAAGCACCTCCGAGTGCAAGTAGATAAATAGGGACTGCTTACTAGCGGGAAGGTAAACGGCGTTTCCGTGTGCGGCTCTGGCTCGCCAGAGCAGCGATGTCACGCTGGCCACGTGACCCGGAAGTGTCTCTGGACAGCGCTGGCCCCCGGCCTCTTGAGTGAGATGGGCGCACAACCCTAGAGTCTGTCAAGACTGGCCCGTACGGGCAGGGGTACCTTTACCTTTACTAGTCCAGTGGTTCCCAATTAGCTAAGTACTGCAGACCCCCTGTTTTTCAAAAGCCAAGCCATAGACCTGCTACTTTTGAAAATTGTGGTAGTTTTTGTTATGTGATTGGTGCCACATACCTCCCGGGTGGGTTACATGGACCATCAATTGGGAACCATTGCGCTAGTCTCATGGGATGGGCTCAAAGAAAATCACCTCCGGTGGAGTTAGCAAAATGCTTAAAGGATACCTCCCAAACTGCCATTTACCTGGCAATAATTGCTGCCTCCCCACTTATCTTCACAATCACTAATGTGGAACTGATTGGCAAATCCCTACATTTGCATGTATCAAAAGAGGGGGGAGAAAAATGCCACCCTTTTTGCTAATCTGTGGCTTAAATATTTTATTTTCAAGCACATTCACACCAAAAGGTCACTTTTTCAAATGGGAGGCTGTTTTCTTTTTTTACTATATCCTCTTTTATATATGTTGCTGAATTTAGGAGCTTTGAAAAAAATATTGGGGAGGGGTTAATAAAGTAATTATCTTGACGATAGATTGTTGCTTTCAAATGAAGCAATAAAATGTCTCTTGCTTTAAAACAACCCTCTAAATCAAATCTTAAAAGGAGAAAGCAAAAGGAGCATCTAAAGTCACACTTATCAATGCCCCAAATTTCTAATGTGTGTAAGATTTTATTTCAGCTCAAATTCAGAATGGCATTCCCACCTCCCACCTGCCCCCACTCACCCGCCCCCATCACTCCATTCAGAGGACTCTGTCACATCTCTACCAGGATTTTGAGCTAGCCAGAGCTAGTCATGAATAGCTGAGCCAACCTACCTCCAAAAGGCAGCGTAGATCACCAGGAGGGTCAACAAAGCCATACAAGAAACAGCACAACCAATCATAAGTGGGACAGAGGGGGAGCTGCCAGATTCCATGGCCTGCAAGAGTAGAAGCAGAAAACGGAGAGAGTGAGAGTGAGAGAGTCCCCACCCCTCACACAAGGTAAGCTAAGTCTGGCAGGACAGCTTACTCTATGGACTTAACCATTTGTTATATGAGGCTGGTTGTCCCACAGTGCTAGGCAAATGTTACCCACTCTTTCAAGTGCATTTCCCTGTCACTTTCTTTATTGCAAAAAGTCTAATCTTTGAAGAAAGTGAGTTTGTGGCACAAGGGCTCCAGCTCAACTCTAATTGCCTAAATCTGAATTTGCCACTTTGTGATTGAACCACACCTGAAAATAGCAACCATCTGGAAGCACCGTAAAATGTTTTTCTTTCAATATGCAGTTCCTCCACTAAGGAGCTGCTTCCCAGGAGAAGCTCAGCATGTAAGGAAGTCTGAGCTGGTTGCTGAAGCTCTGACCTCATGGCTCTCACAAGCTACTCTTGAGTTCCTGTACCAATAATTTAGGAAGTTTCACCACTGTAACTAAACCAAGTTTTACAGCCTGTGCAAGTTTTTGTTGTTGTTGGTTTTTTTTTTATAAATGCTGTATGGAAAAGCACATGAATATGTCCTTAAGAGAGTTTGTAAGCAAATCATTTTTAGCTTACCAAATGTGTGGTCTTTTTCTAGGCTGGGGAAAAGTAAAGATTTGGAACCCACAAAGGCATATTTAAAAAATCTAACTGCCTACATTTCCATGCTTAATTTTGCTTCATATTTTGTGATTTTGAATCTCTGTTGGGGTTCTCTCACCAAAGAATACTAGCTCCAAACTTAGATCTTGGCACCCAGGAATTCTTCTTTATATCTACATTTATTTATTTTTCTTGCACCAACAAGCACGTCATCTAGCCACCCCACAAGCAAGTAAAAATGAATGCTCAATAAATAACTGCTGTTGTCTAAGCCCCTGGAAACAAATCAGTATGACTGCTCAGCAGAAAGGTCACCTGGAAATGACCAGAGGTATAACAGGAAACTGTGATACCAATTTAACACCCTCCTCCCTCTTAGAAAGCAAAGAGTGGTTTGCCAACTGACTGGCAGGGGTAAAACTGGCTAGATTAAAGATCTGGCTCCAAGATTCCTCTCACCACATTTGTTAATAACTTGGGACCCAAGTTTCATGCAGAAAGCATTATGTACATGCACATACACACAAATGTGGTAATTGTAGCTTAGTGATGGCACTGGGAATTCCTGTTCCACAAACTACAACTCTAATGGCCTTCCTATACGAATCTGGTTGGCCCCTTTGAGAGCAAGTTGCTGCACTAAATGGGTCTTTGGCCTGACCTGACAGCAGTGCTGTTCCTATATTCTTCCAGTTTCCAGGGTTGGGTTGTTGTTTTTTTGGGAGGAGTAGCACCAGAGAAGAATTCTTACAAAACCAGTTTGCGCCTGGTCTTTGGTCCCTGTTGAGATGAGGGAGAAATGGGACAGCTTGAGGGCCCCTTTGGCAGGCATGTGGCTAAAGCCTGCTCCCTTCTCCGAAGTACAGCCCCTTCTCTGACAAGCAAGAAGGTCTGCATCTCTGAATAACCCAATCTCTCCCTGCCACCTTCTTCTGTTTTGCTTCCTGTGGCACATGGCTTGAGGTCTCGGGTGAGGGAGGGAAAGGGGAGAGAATCCATTGCCGCTTCTCTGCATTCCTTAAGGGTGGCTCTCCATCTCCTTGCCAATAGGGCATGCTTCCGGAATACCAATGACCCCGCCTGGGTAGGGGAGCATGAAAGAGGCCTGTGACCAAGGGATGCAAGCAAAGCTCCTCTCTCTCCCCTGCCTTCAGCGGCGTCGCCAGTGTGGCAGAGGAGGATTCCCAAGCACGCCCCCAAGATGGTTGCCCATTTGCTTCTGGCACGGGCTCTCTATTCCTCCTCCCCATCGCTAAGCATATTAATGCTTTGAAGGCTCGCTAATAACTCTTATAAATTTCAACCACTCTAGCAACGGGCGCGCGTGGGGGGTGAGAAACGCTGCAGAGAATAGATCCACATTATCTACGGCATTATCTACTTAAAGGCGTCTGGAAGTGGGAAGAGTTCAGAGAGAAAGTAGGAGGCTGGAAACAATGGGAAGGGTGAAGGGGGCTGCTGAAGAGGAGAGCGGAGGAGGTAGGCACAGAGAGGAGACAAAGGGAGCAGATGTTGGGGAGTGGGGGAGGTGAGGAGTGGGAGAGAACAGTCACTGCCACAGGAAAGAGTTGGCGATTCAAGTCTTTCTAAACAGAAAACCTACGCCCTTGAAGTGTTTTGCAAATGTGTGTGGGAAGCTGGCTCTCACCGCTCACTATTCAGGGAAAAGGTAACCTGCACTTTGCACATGTGCTGAAGCACTTTTTCAAATGTCCTCCTTCTCTGTGGTGGCAGGCATCCTGATGATGGTATGCTCTCCCCCCCAGAAGTAGCAGCCTTGGCATTTGGGTGCCATGTTAAATCATACTGTTGCCTGGACATTTGCTGCAGTTGTTTCTTTTAGACTGCAAAAGAATTTAATTCTTATTCTTTTTCCCTGCTTTTATTTGCTGGATTATTTGTGTTGTATTAAAAACTATGGCAAACTGTCCTGGGATCGATCAACTGATGAACAGTGGGTTAAAAATGCCTGTGATATGGAATGAATTTATTTTAGGTATTTATAATCCATCCTTTCACTCAAAAGTCACAGGATGGCAAACAATAACATTAGCATCACAATTACCAGTAATTATTTGTTTATCACTGTTTTTTATATTTCCAAATATGAATCGACCAATTAAATAAATCTGAAGCCTACATAATAGCACCAAACAGAGCTTTGTTTAAATGTCTGCCACCTCCTGCCCATTCCCTCTCAAGGCTTTGACTGGACACAGACTCTTGGGTTTTCCCCATCAGCCAAACCACTTTTGTCTCATAGCACTTGTTTGATTAGCCCTTGGTCCAGTCTTTGCCAACCTGGTCCCTTCCTTTGTTTGATGCTACAAATTCCATCAGTGGGTTGTAGTTCAAAACATAGGAAAAGGAATCAGATTGGCAAAGGGTGAATTAGGCTGATGAAGAGTTCTGGAGAACTTGACAAGGGTTAAACCTTGTTAAACCTTGTCACCTATAAAGGAAATCCTCTATTATGGACACTGTGATTTTTCTTATGGGTCCAAATGGCTACCTTTACTCTCCACCAACTTAAATATTATTTTGCATCTCCTTAGATCAATGAGATGAGGGATACAAGACTCTGAGTGGGGTACAATAGCAGTGGGAAGGGATGGCAGAAAAACTGGGGAAGGGAGCTTGTTGATATACATTTGCAAATTACCACCTCACCCTCCCCAACTACAGCTTGAGGCTTAGCTATCTATCTCTGTTCTTTTGCATACTGAACGTGGTTATGTGTGTGCAGAGTGTGTGTATCACTGTCCCTTAATGCAAGCCCATCGCTGGCAGGGGCCTAATGGTTGCCATGGAAATGATATAGGTTTAGATCAGGCTGCAAATAGTTATTGTAAGGCCAGCATGAAACAGCCTTCCAAATTCTCCACCCTATTTATGGATGGAACCAATAGTGTGGGTGTGATTTTACCAAATATTTTGGGTTGAGAGGGCAAAATTATTATTATCGATTATTATTTATTGGACTTATTAGTCACTAATTGATGAGGTGGAAGAAAGAAAAATCAGAAAATGGTCTTCTGTGACATTTCACTTCTGTTAACGTTGAGCAAAACTGCATTGTTAGCTCACACTGATGACCAGAGGAAGCGATGGGCTATGAAAGAATGACCTGTACTCGTAAAGTCCAGCTTGTTGCCTTTCTTCAATAATATTTAGTTTCCTTTCTGAGAAATTTCAGCCTACCTCTGGGTTTAGGCCTAGCTGGGAGGCTGTGTCTTTCCCTCAGGCATGAGCTACAGGCCTTGCTTTCACAGCCTGCCCCGTGAAAGCAAGGCATTTCCCTTCCTCTCCACCCCTTCAGCACTGTTTTTTCTAACTTTGGCTCGAACATGCCCTTAAAACATTTTCAAAAGGAAGGGGCGGTAACACAGTAACATCACAGAGGTGACTGCTTATTTGCAAAAGGAAAAGAAAATTAAGTAGTGTCAAAGTAAGACATCTGTGAAGTTTCTGGGTATGTATGCACAAGCACATGAAAGAAAAGGCACTCAGGGAGAATTTAAGGATGCTTCAGGGATATGATCTTGGTCAGTTCTGATAAAATCTGATATGTTTCATATCTCTAGACTAGAGTGTGGATGAGAACTTGGTTATCCACTGGTTTTTGAACATCCCAAATGTCCCAATACAGCTCTCATTTTTAAAAAAAAAAGTATCAAAAACTCATTTATAAATGTGTACTTTTGAGGGATGATGTTTAAAAATGCATTCTTTGAGAGGAATTGTGTTTAACACAGACTATTTGAGACAGACTGATCCATCTATATCCCTAGGAGAAATGAGTACATCTGCTATTTTAACAGTAATGGTAAATCTAACAAGAACAACACACAATAACACTACTAATAAAAACTTGGTATTTATATCAACACTTTGATGTGTGAAAAATGTTCCACATAATAATACCTCAATAATCCTTTCAACAACATTTTAAGGCAACTCATTGTAAGACATAATAAACAACATTTCATTATACTCAAATTGCAAGATTGAGGTTGTGAGATTGAGGTATTGTGTATAGCTACCTCATGAATTCACAGTGGCGAAGATTTGAACCAGGGAACATTTGAACCAGGGAACTTTCCACACTTTTAAACCTTACCTCAGTAATCCTTACGGCAACACTTTAAGGCAGGTCAGAATTCTTATCCCCCAAATTGCAGATTGGAAACTGAGGCTGACAGCTACCTGGTGAATTTACAGTGGGCGGAGGTAAGATTCGAACCAGGAGACATTCCAGCTCACATAGCCCACACTATCAGACTTTGCAAAGAGCTCTCAGGGACAAAGGTAAGGAGAGAGAGAGGTGGTAGACAAGAACATGCACGGGGAATCTGGGTAAGTGTTCAACAAAGTTGTGGGTGTGCACATGCAACTAAGCCTAACCACCCTGCAGGGATGCAACCTTTCAAAGTCCCTTTGGGTCCAGATCAATAGTAGGCTTGTTGAAAATTTCTCATCCTTAACAACAGTAGACCTCCATAAAGCACACAGTACCTCTTGCAAACTCACAACTTCTTCCCTTAGCACACATGCAAAGCTGAATGATGAGCTTGTGTCCTGTGGGCCAGAGTTGCCATTACTCTTGCCTGGCTCCTTACTCTGCCACCTTTAATTTGGCTATCAGGCCCTCCTGTCTCAGGGTTGGGCCACCTCCGTTGGTGGGAGGCAGGAATGTGGCGCTGGCCGAGAGCCCAGCCTGCTCTCCCTCATTCTGTCAAAACTTACCAGGTCTTTGGGCAGTTGGGCGATCACAGCAAAGGTGGAGAGCTGGCTGCAATGGCACTTGGTGTGAGCCGAGAGAGTTTCCACCGTCTGGCAGCTTTCGGTCTCCCAGTTCCCAGCGCCAACCTCCCTGATTGATGGAATGCGAAGGAGAAAGGAGAGAGAAGGAGAGATTTCAAATGATCAAACACTCACACAGCCCACATCCCTTCAGCGCATTGCCTGCATTAACCCTTTGCATGGCACGGCCCTAGTGATGCACTGGGTGAAGCAGGCTCTCTCGCTGTGTGTGTGTGTGTGCAAGTCAGGCACCAAGGTTCTGTCTGAGCGGCTTGCTTTATCTCCTGACCCAGTTGTTGGGGTGAAACGTCTCCACTCCCTCCCCATCCTCCGGCAGAGATCTCAGCCCAGTGCCCCCCCCCCCGCCAATCCGCTCCCGGCATAGCCCTATGTTGCTACAGACTCATTTCCCTGGTGGGGAAGATTGGGGGACGGGGTTGTTTGTTGCTATTGCAGTAAGCATTGATTTAATTTGAAGGTTGATGCCGACAGGGATTTGGGAGAGGGAGAGACTGAGATGGGCATGGATTCTGGATGAAGGGGCGTGTGTGTGTGTGTCAGGCAGGGGTTTTCCATGGTTTAGAGACAGTTTTCTGGCCTGCTCAGCAAGCAGCCAAGGGTTGATACAGGCTGCTCTGGTGGTTTCATGTTTGCATGATAATACGGCACAAAGATGGAAACCTCAAGCAAATTGAGGAATGGAGGGAGAAGCAGGAAGCAAATGTACAAAAGAAGGGGGAAAGGAGGGTATTAGAAGAGAATGAATTTCTGTATTTGAAACTCCCTGATGAAGGATCTCAGGTCTGAAATGCACTCGACATTAAACTTTGTCTGCCAACCCTTTGTGTGAGCATGATAGGGGAGGGGCAAGGATACCATCCAAGAATTGAGAGGGGCCACAAAAGCTTCTGAGAACTAAATGGATACAGCTGATCATGACTGGACCCTGTCTCAAACCCAACAATTAGCAGTAAATTCCTCAGTCTGCATCATGAGACAGTAGTGAAGATAGTCATGTATAGCTTTTTTAAAAAAGGTATGTTTATGTGCTAGAGGTTCCCCCCCCCAAAAAAAAAACCAGTGCAAATTTTTTTAATGAAACAGACACTTGATCTATCACACAAAAGCCTCCAGTGTGCAGAGCTGATGCTTCAGCCGCACATCTGGATGTGTCCTTAATCCCATCCATATTGCAGTATTTATCTGGGCTGTGTCTACGGACACTAATTGTTGCCTGTGACTAGAAGTGGATCAGGGCAATTATGGGCCGATGGTGGGCTGAAAGGGAGGGGGAAGGAGGGAGGGAGGGGTGCAAACAGACTGGGGCAAAACCTCCCCTCCCCCATGAAGGGCCATTGACTTCCAGCAGAGGTGGTCAACCTGTGTGTCTCCTGACGCCTCCTGAAGGTGCCCCATTCTTCCATCACAGTACAGGTTCTTCCTTTCTGTTACATTCATCCTCATTTTCTCCTGGTATGTAAAAGTGCCCCACTGCCACACAGCTCTCTATGTAGTTGTAAAACAACTGGAAGGGGAAGTATTCAAGCACCTAGCTGTTTCAAAGCAAACTGGTAGGCTCTACAGATATGTGTGCATGTAGCACACTGAAATCAGAACGGAATAATTTTCAGTTGCTTTCCTCTTCACTTCCTTCCTGACTCTTTCGTGGAAGTGCTTCCTCTGAGCAAGAATTTGGGGGGTGCAAGGATGCTCAGGGAATGGTGTACCTGCCTCTGACAATTACATCCACTATTTGCTCACACCTGGGAGACAGGATGTTGGTTGGACAGGATGCTCGAGGACAAACCCTCCTGCACACCCAGAATTCTCAGACACTGTAATATGCAGGCTCTTCATGAACCATCCAGGCCACCATAGCCTCAGCCTCTTCCTCCTCCCTCTGGAGTTTCAGCTCTGCTTTGCCCTGTGCATGCTTTGTCTCCCACCTCTCCCTTGTGCGCACAAGCAACGCTCGAGACTGAAGCCCAGGAGCAAAGAGCAGGCCCACAGCACCCTGAAAGCCCAGAGCAGGACTAGAGGGGCACGTAGACTATGTGGGGTGAGGCTGCAGGCCACATCTGGCCTGGGACTTTCCCCAGCCCTTGGCATTATTAGGTGCCCAAAAATAGCCTCTCAAAAATGACTGACATTTAGTTTGGTACACCATCGGCTCAAATCTCTCTGACATTGTCATCTCCTATTCATGTTTCCATTTCAAGCTTCACATATTGCAGCAGCCTTTGCCAAGGTAGTGCCCCCAGATGATTTAAGATGCAACCCCCATCAGCCCCAGTCAGTGCACCCGCCTAAAAAAAGGATAGTCTCTGTGGCCCTGATGTCACTCCAGCTGACTGGGGCAGCAAACTGTCTTGGGACAAACATTGGGGAGGGTGATGGCTCAATAATGAAGTGCATGTATTGTATGAATGGAAGCCCTGCCATGTTCAGCACTCAACACCTCTAGCCAAAAAGGGCTCTCAGGTAATAGGGCTGAGAATAGCCTCCTTCTACCGGAGGCCTTGGAGAACTGCTGCCAGCCAGAGCAGATAGTATAAAGCTATGGACATGGGAAGTGGCATCATTCCAGAACAGGCTATTTGTCCAGTATTGCCTATTATGGCTGGAAGTAGCTCTCCAGGATCCTAGGCAGAGAAGACTCTTTCACATCACCTCCTACCTCTTCCTTCCAACTGGAGATGCCAGTGGTTGAATCTGGCATGCAATGCATGTGCTCTTTGGCAAACAATGCATGTGCTCTACCACTAAGCTACCGTACATTCTCTCTCCCAAACTAGAAGCAGCAGTGGTCTGAATCAGTATAATAGAACTTAACATGTTCAGTGGAAAACAGAGGCATTGACTCCTTTCGTTCACAGTGCCAAGACTTTGATCTTGTTTACCTACTCCACACCTGTTGGGGAAGCAGTGGATATTGCTGGCTGAGTAGATTGTAAATTCTATGGAGGTTTCAGCATCCTCAATAACCACAGACTGCTGAGGCTGGGACCTCCAATTTCTTTATTCGGCTAAAAGGGAAGCATTCTTTCTCTGAGCTGGAAGAAGCACTGCAGCAGAAATGCAATTTCGTTTACTTGTAAACTGCACTGAAAGGATTTGCATCCTGAGAGGCAGGATGTAATTAATTGTAATAAATAAATACATGGCTATGATGTACGGCAGAGATAGTGGCAACTGCTCTTTCTGATCTCAGATGTGCAGATACATCAGAAGAGCTTCTGCTTCACCAGCACATTTAGCATCTGCTGGCACAGAAAACTCCCCTCTCTGGTCACACATTTCTAAATGGTTAAGAAGAACTGAGAAGAGGCCATTTTTTAAGGGTCTGGCACAGTAGAAAGATGCTCTATCTATGCTGTGTCCATACATAAGCCTAAAGAATAAGACGGGAGATATTCTGGATGGGCCGGAAGATGGAGCCAGGTCAAGAGCAGAAGAAGGGGTTAAAAATCAGACACGAAGGGTTTTGTAGGATTGCCAAACTTTAGAACTTCAGTTTGTGTTAAGATGAAGGCAGGAGATAAATCACAGAATGTAGCTGCACATGGTTTCAAGCTGTGGGACTCCTTGGACTTTACTAGGGTTTCTCAATGAGAAGATCAGCCATGTTGGCCAAGCTCCTTCAAAAAAGAGCTTGCAGGTATGCAAAAGAATTATTGGTACTTTCTGGGCCATACTGTTCTAGTCCATGTGAATAAACTATAAGACCCAACAGGCCCACCACATAAATCAAGGGTGGACCCTGGAACAATAACCCAGATTCCTCTGCAATATAGAGGTATGTGCCTATACTCTACATTTAACCAGGTATGGAGGGGTTGCTTGGCAGTCAAGTCAATATGTTTAGGCAGAATGACTCACAACCCTGAAAGTAAAACAAGGAGCTGCTACTTTCAAGATTCTGTTAGGTACAAATGGTGCACTGTGTAGAATCTAGAAAGGATGCACCCATAAGAACATGGGAAGAGTCTTGCTCCTAGATCAGGCCAAGGGCAGAATTCTGCTTTCACAGTGGTGAACCACATGCCTTATGTGGGAATCCCACATAAGGGTGAGTGCAGTACTGCTCTTCCCACTTCAAATTCTCAACAACTGGTATTCAGAGGCACATTGCCTCTGACACTGGAGGCAGGACATAGCCATCATGGGCTGTAGCCCACACCCAGAAGGCTTGTCATCTGTATTAGACTAGGAAAAATGAGTACAGGGAAAAGAGGTGAGGGGTTTGCAACCAGTAGCAGCAGGGAGGCAGTAGGGAGTAGGAGAAGATGATGTTGCAACACTTGCACCCATCACTCAGCCAAAATGTTCAGCCAGCTGCTACTCAGGATGAGTGAGAAGCTTAGAGGATCAGGAGGCAGGAGTGGCACTCAAGAGATGTGGTTCTGCTACGATGTTAGCATCCATCTGTCTTGGGAGACAATGGAGGGGTTCTCCTGGGGGGCGGGGATTGAGGTCAAACTGCTGGATGGTTGCAGCGCCTGCTGTGGCTGTAGAGACCAATGTGGGAGAGACATGCTTTGTTGCAGCTGGGGCAGATGAGGGAGTCCAGTTCTGCTGCTGCAGATGCAGAACGGCGTTTCTTCTCTCTGTACTCCTGCCAGTGGTGATTCCTCCTCTAGTCACTGCTGTGGATACACAACTTGTCTGCCTGTTTCTGCAGTCACCTGTGAGGGATTACCACATGGCAGGATTGGTGTTGCCAGCCTCCATGTCACCTTTGCAGACACTTTTATAATGTAGAGTTGGAGGAGACAAAGAGCTGCTGAATGCCAACTGCTGAGAGGTTACAGTGGGAGTGGGCTATTGCATTCGAACCCTGCTTGGAGGCTTTCAGAAGCAGCTGATTGGCCATAGTTAAAAGTAGGGTGCTGGACTAGATAGACCAGGGGTCAGCAAGGTTTATCTTTCCTGGGCCGGATCGAAGATCCCTCCATGGGCCGGATCACGTGCACACATGAGCGTACACGCCCACGATTTCCGGCATCTGTGCAGACACGATTTCCGGCGCTGCAGAAGCGAGTCCCCACACCGTGTTGTGTCGGTTTAGTG